CCTAAGAGCAGCAAACTTGTTTCCTCATGGTAATTCAGATGTAATACAGAACACTTGGTGGACCAAGAGTAATAAAATAGCACTGTTTCAAACCCAGATTTTCTGCTAATTTACATAAACCTTTCACCAAATCAGTCTGAATTAATGAGACACCACTTTACTGTCTCCATCTAAAATTAACTAGGGCTCTTATGTGGTCTTCACAAATCCTCTCTTCATGTTCCAAACTGAAAACCTATCATTTTAGTTTGACATCCAGGGAGGGATTTGAGTCTCTTCAGGAATGTGGGATTTGACTTCGAATTCTTGAGAACGTAGCACCTTGGGCTGTGCTGTGACTTACCTGTTTGGGTTTACCTATTATAAATTCAATAAAAAATAGGCTCCATCTAAAAAATAAATTCTGGATTACATAACTCACTTATGTGGGAGCTGGGCTCCCACGGAGCGCCGCCACCAGCAGCCTATCACGCCAATAAACATGGTTGCGAGGTTCTTCATCCACCGGTGCTACTTCCCTTCTCAACGGCCCAGCTTCTCTGCCAGCGCCGGCTGCTGCTCCTCCAGCAAGCCCCATCATGGTCTTGGAGTTTGCCCGTATGCTTCACATAAATTTAATATGGAAACAAGCTGCTTCTTTGGGGCAGCTGCTGTAGAGGCCACTTGTAGAGAAGAAACGACACTAATAAGAAAGTGTGGTTGTTTTCTCCAACGGAAAATTACAAGTTTGCTTGGTTTCGATCCCTGGCACCAAATCTTGGGTTCCTCATCACTGGATAGACTTCTTCCCACTTGGCTTCTCTCAGCCAGTCCTGGCACACTATCAGAGGGAAAGTAATTAGAAAGAAGTGTCTCATAGGGATGAGGAGCACTGGTAGCTTCCCACATGGGGATCATCGTGGATCTTCAAACAAACCCTGGGCCAGACAGCAGTGTTGTTGTCTTCTCACTTACATAAACCCCGTCGGCGTTCACACCTCCCGAGGCACACCGAGAGAGCTGGAATGCTCAGCTCCCCTTCCTCAGGGGAACTCTCTGGTAGCTCTTGGGTGCGTGAGCAGTGACCCAGGTGTAGTTAGCCCCAGAGACTTTTCCGAGAGTTCCCCTCAGCTTCTCAGTTATTGTGCTGCTGTGGGTCATAAGGTCCATCTTATTCTTAGTTCACTCGTGACTCAGGTGATGTGAGTGCGGAGTGGGGAGTGAGAAATAGCTCTACTATTTTTGTGACTCTTGCCCATTGTAAACATATCAAAGTATAGATATGTGGTTTAATATTTTTCTTTCTTTATTGATTTTAGAGAGAGAGGGAGAGATAGAAACATCGATGAGAGAGAACATCAATTGGCTGCCTCCTGCATGCCCCCACTGGGGATCGGCCCACAAACTAGGCATGTGCCCTGACCAGGAATTTAACTGGCGACCCCTTGGGTCGACACTCAACCACTGAGCCACACTGGCTGGGCTAGACATATAGTTTAAAAGCATCTGGCCAGTTTGGCTCAGCAGTTGAGCGTCGGCCTGCGGACCAGAGAGTCCTGGGTTTGGTTCCCACTAGGGGCACGTACCACCAAAAAATAAAATAAAAGCATCTGACATCTCACCTTTCTGAGACAACAAGTGCATCATTTTGGTGAGCATTTCTCTTTGTTTGTGTAGAATTATTCATACAGCCTTTCTCAAATATATTTGTGAGCATGGTGTTGATCTGTGTTCACCCAGAAGCTGACCTGAGACAAGACCTGGGAAGGAAGCAATTCATCTGGGAGATGTGGCAAACAGTAAGGGGGAGTGGGGAAGTCGGGGAGGGTGAGTGGCCCCTTGAGGCTATCGTTAGCTGGAGGTGTGGTGGGTGGAGCTCACTCCCAAAGAGAAACTCTGGGAAGTGGTGTGGAACACACGCCTCCAAGATGGAGATGGGTCATTTGAAAGACAAGGGAACTGGAGTACTTAAACCTCAGTGCCACATTGGTTGAGGCTGCGCCCAGTGGGTGTTCATTCTGAGCACTTCCAGCCTGAACAGTCTTCCAAGACCTTGGAGAAAGCCGCACAGGAAAGACCGGAATGTATTAGCTGGTGCAGGGCAACCACACACACACACACACACACACACACACACACAGGTGGTAGTACTTGAAAGGTGTGCCAGGCACTGAAAGATGCTGAGGGCACAGCAGGAAATAAAACAGTCTTGCCCTCATGGAACATCCCTTCTGCTGGGGAAACAGATAAACAAGGCAAGTAAGAAGCATATGGGGTGTGTTACGGGGTGACAAGTACCGTGGTAAGTACTGAGAAATTCTAGAGAGGAAGGAGGAGGAGTTGGTTGCAATTAGCAAAAGAGAGATCAGGGCAGGCTTCACCGAGGAGGTGACACTCAAGGAAAAGACCTCAAGGAGGGGAGGGGAAGCTCAGCACATGGTTACCTGTATGAGGAACATTCTAGGCCAAGGAAATAGCAACACAAAGGCCCTAAGGCAGGAGTGTCCCTGTGTGAGGAACAGGGAGGCCCATGACTGAGCAGAGTAGGAGGGGGAAAGAGCAGAGGAGCCAGACAGAGCAGAACCTCATTGACACTGTGATGCCGTAGGCTCCTTTCTGGAATGAGAGCGAAAGGTGGCGGAAGAGCCGGAGCAGATGATGGATTCCGACTTCAGTTTTAACAGAATCACTGGCTGCCCTGCTGAGAATGAACTCGAGGGGCGAGGGCAGAGGCAGGGAGACCAGTGAGGAGGCAAATACTCCAAGTGGTGGCAGTGGAGTGAGAAGTGTTAGATTCTAGAAATATTTTGAAGGTAGAGAGAAGGTAATTTGTAGGCAGACTGGATGTGAGAGAAAGAAAGAAGTCAATGGGTTTGGTCTGAGGAACGGTAAAAAAAGGAGTTGCCTGAATTAGGGGAAACTTCAGGAGTAAGTGTGTGGGGTCAGGGGGTGATTGGGGGCCTGGCACTGGGTGTACTAAGTTGACGTTGTCTGTTAGACACTTAAGTGGAGATGTCAGCAGGAAGTTGAATGTAGGGGTTTGGAGTTCAGAAGATGTTCAAACTGGATATAAACTGCAGAATTTCTCAGCACATGGAGGGTCGGAGCCATGAGACTGGTTGAGATCTCCAAGGGAGAGAGCTAGATAGAACAGTGGTCTGGGACTGAACCCTGAGCCCTCAGGGAGGCAGAGACTGAGCAAGGAGCCTGAGAGAGAGCACCCAGAATGTGGTGTCTTGAAAGCCAAGTACAGAAAGTTCTTCTAGGAGGGGGGAGTGGTCAACCGTAGGTAAGTGTATACATGTGCTACATTTATACAGATGTACATAGAGGAACACTCTCTATATAGATATACATATACACACAGGTAGTTTTACATCAGTAGTATTATACTATGTAAACAGATTTGTAACTTGATTTTCTTCCCGCTAAATCTGTTGGGAGGAGTGCTCTGTGGCGATAAGATCTGTCTGCCCATTACTTTAATAGCTGCGTAGTATTTCATTGTGTACATGTACAATGATGATTTTTTCCCTATAAGTATTTTTCCCAATTATAGAATTCTAAATTATATAGCAATGGGCATGTGCCTTCATCCTTTCACACCTGTGTGATCATCTCCTTGGGATAAACCCTAGAGTTGGGGCTGCTGTGTGCAAGGTATGCATGCCCTATCTAAATGGTCTGATTTAAGCCCTGGCCGGTTTGGCTCAGAGGTTAGAGCATCAGCCCGCGGACCAGAGAGTCCCAGGTTGGGTTCCCGCTAAGGGCACGTACCTCAGTTGCAGTTTGACCTTGGTTGCAGTTTGTTCCTGGCCCTGGTTGGGGTCGTGTGGGTGGCAACCACTCGATGTGTCTCTCTTACATCGATGTTTCTTTTTTTTTTTTTTTTTTTTATCCTCACCCGAGGACATTTTTCCACCCTTTATTCAGATAGAGCAGGAGGGAGAGAGAGGAAGAGAGAGAGAGAAACATCGACGTGAAAGGGACACATCGAGTGGCCGCCACTCGCACGACCCAACCAGGGCCGGGGACAAACTGCAGCCAAGGTACGTGCCCTTAGTGGGAACCGAACCCGGGTCTCTCTAGACCACAGGCCGACGCTCTAACCGCTGAGCCAAACCGGCCAGGGCTTACATCGATTTTTCTATCTCTCTCTCTTCCTCCCGCTCTATCTGAAGATAAATGCAAAAATGTCCTCAGGTGAGGATAAAGATGATAGATAGATAGATAGATAGATAGATAGATAGATAGATAGATAGATAGATAGATAGATAGATAGACTGATTTAAGACTTCTTCCTGGCAGTTCCAATAATCTAAGATGTATTCAATATGGAATAGCCACAGACCCCAAGGAAGACCACTGGGATGTCATTCCAGGTAGCTCCTATTCTACAGGGAGGACACAGGAGACCACTGGGTAATTGCAGTTAGAACAGAGGTTTGGGGCATGTCAGAAAAGTCCATGGCAGAAAGCGATGTCAGTAATGGCCCTGAGCCGACATAAGGAGCTGCGCAGAACTCTGAAAGTAAAACCACTCCATTTCCACCCGGAGCAGAACAACTCTCCAGGCCTAGTCTCTCCGGCAGAGCCACTAAGAGCAAACGCAGCAGACGAGGGCAGATGTGCCTTTTGTGAAATGACTGTAATTAACTCCATACTTTTCTCCACACTTTATTTTTGCTGGCTGGCTTTGTCATCTTGCTGTCAGAACAAGTCTACTACATGCCTCAGATTTTTTTCCTTTTACCTTGTCATTCTGAGCAGAAGCATAACACCATCACCTGTCTGGGCACATACTGAGACTGTCTGGATAGTGTTAGGACATCCTGAACATTCAATGAACCCTGAAAATAACATCTACCACCACCAGATAATTGCCTAAAAGTCTCCAGAAACTTCAGGGCATTAAGGGGCAATGTATTTAGTCCCATATGTCTTCAATGCCGGGAAATGCACTGAGACACCTTTCGACTCAAAAGGAAAATGGACACAGAGCCATACTTTGGATCCATTTATTGCCATCTCTGGATGGGTCTGTACAAGCATTCAACCCAGGACTCATGACACCCGCCCCCACTGGTGTTTGACCCTTGGAAATCTCAGTTCAGCAATACCCATCCAGGGAGGGCTAGCTCCCTACACTGGGTTCTTAACCATTAAGGCAGACCCACAAGAATGTTCTGATAGTCTCGAGTTTTAAAAAGTTTTACATCTGTGTGATCTGGCTGCATGCTCTTCAGTTCCCACAGTCCGTGGGCTTTACCATGTAATGTCCCTTTACCATGATCGAGCCTCATCCACCACACCGATTCAGCCACCTTCTGCTTCATAAAGGACGCCCAGTCCAGTCAGGAGGTCAACACCATGGCTGAGATAGAAGTCATTTTATACCCCAAGAATACAGCCTACAGAATTTATGCCAAATTCCATTCCGCAACTGACCATATTTCCCAGTTGATTATAAGATAATTGTCTCCTGACCTATAAGCTTCTGCGTGATGTTTAAAACCAGAGCCTGGGAGTGAACAGCACTTGGTCTTTCTCCTCGGCCTGGCTCCGCTCAGGCTGTCTGCGGCCTGTCCTCAGAACGCTATGTAATAGTGCTCCATTGTGCTGACGATGTCACTTTGGTCCTCCAGGAGCTCCAGCACCTGCTGCAGCACAGGCTCGCTCAGGCCCGGGCTGAGGCTCAGGCGGGCACAGGCCAAGATGTGCCGGAAGTGGCAGCCCTTCTCCATGTCTGCAGGAAAAAGGCAGTTGGCTAAGCTTAGACACACCTGTCAGACCTTCCTCTCTCCTCTCCATATCTCCCGAATCAGAACCTGAATCAGAACCTGCATCTTAATAAGACCTCCAGATGATTCTTATGCATATTAAGGTCAGAGATGCACTGGTCTAGATTATCAGCGAAAACAAACGAAAAAACCTGTTCTCAGACCCCTCTATGGACCCACTGCTCAGGACTCAGGCCTTCATCTTTTAAGGATTCCCAATCAATAATTTTATATCTATAACCTCATGGATTTTCAGTGCTTGATCTTTTTTTCTCCAATGCCATTAAGTGCATGTATTCTGTGCTGACCCCTTAGCTTCCCAGGGACCCCACTTGAGGCTGACAGCGGAGCCAGCTGACAGCAGCCTCCACACTCTTTCTCACGAGTCCTGATTGGCGGGACTGCCACAGTGAAGGAGCAACTCCTAGCTCTGCACAGGCTTCCAAGGTTCGTCTGTGACAGTTGTGTTCTAGTAACCCCTTACCCTCTAGCCACGCGAAGACCATTTTGTGTACCGTGGTAAGAGCTCAGTGTTAGTAACCTCTTTCCTAGTTGAAATCAATGATTTAGAGTAGTGATCACACTCAAATTCTGACCATTAGAGGATCATAAAATCAATTTAGTGGGTTGTGATTAGCTACATTTTTCTTACCAAACGTAGAAAATGACAGAAAGTACAGCATTATGGGTAAGATAAATCTTATTTTGTGAAACTATTTGTAATATATAATCTATATCTACCTACCTGTTTATCTATCTATTGCTTTATAATCACATAACTTACTGGGTCATAATGTAAAATGCGTTGGTAACTCCAGGTCAAAGTCAAACTGCAAAGTCAAACCGGTTTTCAGGTCATAGCCCCGTAGCAGCACCAGGCCTGGCTTCTCCTCGTCACTGAATGTTTTCCGATTATAAAATGTTTTAGGCTTTAGGAAGGTGTCTGAAGAGGTATCACGGTGTTGGGCAGAGCATGGTTTGGGAGTCGATGCACCTTTGTAACTTTAGGCAAGTCATAATATCTTCAAGTTTCAGTTTTCTCACCAATGGAGAGGGAGGCTGGGGAGGAGGTGGGGGCCCCTGTGAGGTTCTTCCAGCTCAAAGGGTCAGAGACTATCACAGGCAGTGGCCTGGGATAATGGGATAACAAAGACTTGCTAAATTCTGACCTCTAGTGGCTCTGTCAGCTCATTGTTCCTCCCTGTTGGGGCTGTTAGAAAACTTGCCACCTCCACTTGTCTCCACATCCCAGTCTGTTTCTTCAACCTTCATTTGATAAAGATTTCCTGAACACCTACTATGTGTGTGGTGTCAAAAATAAACAAGCCCTTGCCCTGGCCAGTTTGGCTCAGCGGTTAGAGCGTCGGCCTGCGGTCCGGAGAGACCCGGGTTCGGTTCCCACTAAGGGCACGTACTTCGGTTGCAGTTTGTCCCCGGCCCTGGATGGTCTTGCGGGTGGCAGCCACTTGATGTGTCCCTTCACGTCGATGTTTCTCTCTCTCCCTCCCTCCCACTCTATCTGTACAAAAATTGGAAAAATATCCTCGGGTGAGGATTAAAAAACAAACAAACAAACAAGCAAGCCAGCCCTGGCCGGTTTGGCTCAGTGGTTGGAGCATCCGCCTGCGGACCAGAGAATCCTGGGTTCGGTTCCCGCTAGGGGCACATACCAAACAAAAAACAAAACAGCCCTGGCCGGTTTGGCTCAGCGGTTAGAGTGTTGGCCTGCGGTACAGAGAGACCCGGGTTCGGTTCCCGCTAAGGGCACGTACCTCGGTTGCAGTTTGTCCCCGGCCCTGGTTGGTCGTGCGGGTGGCAGCCACTCAATGTGTTCCTTCACGTCGATGTTTCTCTCTCTCTCTCCCTTCCTCTCTCTCCCTCCCACTCTATCTGTACAAAAAATAGAAAAATAGCCTCAGGTGAGGATAAAAAAAACAAAACACAAATAAACAAGAAAAGGAGCAGATAAAAGAGTGATGATGGAGAGCTGACTCTGGAGTCCAACAGATCCAAATTCAAGTCTAGGCTCTAAGACTGGGACGAAGTGGTTCATATCCCTCAGTCAGTTTCCTCAGTCAGTTTCCTCATCTGTAAAATGGGAACAAAATCACCTACCTCACCAGTGGTCATGTGATTGAAAGGAGACCCACAGTAGGTGCTTTTCACGTGGGGAATGACTATGATACTATCATTGTAGCCAGAACCTAAGATGCTCATGACCTAGTCCCTGCTCTAAAGAAGCATCAGCTTGTCCCAAAGGCCTTAAACTATTTCTTCAGAAAGGCCATTCTGCTGTCGATGAGTTGTCTGATAAAGCAGACACAGAGTAACCTTCCGGTTACACAAAGGGTGGTGTTAGTTCTTCTTTAAATGTTTGGTAAAATTCACCAGTGAAGCCATTACGTTCAGGACTTTCCTTGGTTGGGAGATTTTTATTTACCAATTCAAGCTCCTTACTAGGTATAGGTCTACTCAGATTTTCTACTTCCGTGTGATTTAGTTTTGGTAGGTTTTGTGTTTCTAGGAATTTGTCCATTTCATCTGACATACATTTGTTCACAATATTCTTTTATAGTTCTTTTTATTTCTGTAGAATCAGTACCAATGTCCTCATTTTCATTTCTGATTTTAGTAATTTGAGTCTTCTCTTTCTATTTCTTAGTCCAACTAGCTAAAGGTTTGGCAATTCTGTCGATCTTTTCAGAAAACCAACTTTTGGTGTCAAAGATTTTCTCCATTGTTTTCCTATTTTCGATTTCATTTATTTTTGCTCTAATCATTATTTCCTTCCTTCTGATAGTTATGGATTTTGTTTGTTCTTCTTTGTCTAGTTCCTTAAAGTGTAAAGTTAGGTTAAGATCTCTCTTGTTTTTTAATGTTTATGGCTGTAAGGTCCCCTTAGCACCACGTCCGCAGTGTCCCACAAATTTGGTATGTTGTGTTTCTGTTTTCAACAATCTCTAAGTATTTTCTAATTTCCCTTGTGATTGACTCTTTGATCTATTGTCTGTTTAAGAGTGTTATTTAAGCCTGGCTGGTGTGGTTCAGTGGTTGGTCACTGGTTCGATTCCCAGTCAGGGCACATGCCCAGGTTGTGGGCCCAATCCCCAGTAGGGGGCATGCAGGAGGCAGTCAACTGATGTTCTCTCTCATTGATGTTTCTATCTCTCTCCCCCTTTCCCTTCCTCTCTCTAAAATCAATAAAGGGGGAAAAAAAAGTGTTATTTAGCCCTGGCTGGTTTGGCTCAGTGGTTAGAGTGTCAGCCCGAGGACCGAAGGGTTGAGGGTTCGATTCCCAGTCAAGGGTATGTACCTGGGTTGCAGGTTCAGTCCCTGGCCCCAATCAGGGTCATGCGAGAGACAACCAATCGACGTGTCTTTCTCACATCGATGTTTCTCTCTCTCTCTTCCCTTCCCTCCCTTCCTTTCACTCTATCTAAAAATCAATGGAAGAATATCCTCAGGTGAAAATTAAAAAAAAGTAGTATTATTTAATTTCCACTAATTTGTGTGAATTTTCCAGTTTTACTTCTGTCACGGACTACTAACTTTAGTCTGTTGTGGTCAGAAAAGATACTTTGTATATCTATCTTCTCAAATCTACTGAGACTTAATTAGTGGCCTAACATATGGTCTATCCTGGAAAATGTCCCATGTACACTTGAAAAGTGTCTTGTATACGTCTGCTAGATCATGTTGATTTATTGTGAAAATTTGTCTATTCCCTTCCTTATCTTCTGTCTGGTTGTTCTATCCATTACAGAGAGTGGGGTACCAAAATCTCCAACTATTGTAGAATTGTCTATTTCTCCCTTCAATTCTGTCAGTCTTTGCTTCATGTACAGTATTTTGATGGTCTATCATTAGGTATATAAATGTTTGTAATTCCTGTATCTTCTTAGTGTAGTGAATCTTTCACGATCACACAATATTGTTTCTTGTAATCTTTTATGACTCAAAGTCTATTTTATCTGATACTAGTATAGTCACCCCTGCTCTCTCTTTAAAAAATTTTTTTTCTTTATTGATTTTAGAGAAAGAGAAAGGGAGAGAGAGATAGGAATATCAATGAGAGAGAACATTAATTGGCTGCCTCCTGCATGCTCCCCACTGGGGATCAGGCCACAACCTGGGCATGTGCCCTGACCAAGAATCAAACTGGAGACCTCCTGGTGCATGGGTCGATGCTCAACCACTGAGCCAAATGGACCAGATTCTTTCTTTTTATAAAATCCTCACCCAAGGACATTTTTCCATTTAAAATGGGGGCGGGGGGGTGTCGATGTGAGAGAGACACACATCTATTGGTTGCCTCCCGCACAACCCCAACCAGGACCGGGGACTGAACCGCAACTGAGGTAAGTGCCCTTGACTGTAATTGAACCTGCGACTGTTTATTCTGTAGGACGATGCTCCAACTGCTGAGCCAAACTGGCCAGGGCAAACCCCTGCTCTCTTTTGATTCCTATTTGCATTGAATATCTTTTTCCATCCTTTCACTTTAGATCTATTTGTGTCTTTGGGTCTACAGTGAGTCTCTTGTAGATAATATATAGTTGTGTCATGTCTTTGTTTTATTTTATTTTATTTTTTTGTTTTGGTTTTTTATCCTCACCCGAGGACATTTTTCCATTTTTTGTTCAAATAGAGTGGCGGGGGCGGGGAGAGAGAAACATTGACATGAAAGGGACACATCGAATGGTTGCCACCCACACGACCCAACCAGGGCCGGGGACAAACTGCAACCGAGGTATGTGCCCTTAGTGGGAACTGAACCTGGGTCTCTCTGGACCGCAGGCCAACACCCTAACCACTGAGCCAAATCGGCCAGGGCTCTGCTGCTAATATTATTGATGATCCCTTGTATGTGACAAGTTGCTTCTCTCTTGCTGTTTTCAAGATTCTCTCTTTGTCTTTCAGAAGTTTGATTATAATGGTCTTGGTGTGGTCTCCTTGAATTAATCTTATTTGGAGTTCACTGAAGTTCTTGGATATTTATATTCAAGTCTTTCATCAAATTAGAGAAGTCTTCACCGTGGCTGATTTGGCTCAGAGATTAGAGTGTTGGCCCATAGACCAAAGAGTCATGGGTCCAGTTCTGGTCAAGGGCACGTACCTTGGTTGCAGCTTGGTCCCCGGCCCTGGTTGGGGTCATGCAGGAGGCAACCAGTTGATGTGTCTCTCGCATTGATATTTCTCTTTCTCTCTCCCCCTCCCTCCACTTCTATCTAAAGATAAATGAAAAAAATGTCCTCGGGTAAGGATTAAAAAAAAAAAGTAGGGAAGTTTTCAATCATTATTTCTTCAAATACTCTCTCTGCCCATTTCTCTCTTCACCATGTGGGACTTACACAATGTATATGTTGGTCTACTTCATGGTGTCCCATTGATCCTTTAGGCTCTGTTCACATCTCTTCAACTGCAAGTTTGCTAATTCTTTCTTCTGCCTGTCCAAATCTGCCTTTTAATCACTCTTGTAAATTCTTTATTTTAGTTATTGTACTTTTCAGGTCCAAATTTTTATTTTTGGTTTCCTTTTAGGTACTCTATCTTTTTATGATATTTCCACTTTGTTCATCCATCACTTTCTTGACTTTATCCACATCTTCCTTGAGTTTTCCAAGCATCTTTAAGACAGTTATTTAAAATTTTTGTCTAGTACAGCCATGGCCGGTTTGGCTTAGCAGTTGGAGCGTCGGCCCACAGACCAGAGAGTCCTGGGTTCAGTTCCCGCTAAGGGCATGTACCTCAGTTGCAGTTTGTCCCCAGCCCCGGTTGGGGTCGTGTGGGTGGTGACCACTTGGTGTGCCTCTCTCACATCAATGTTTCTCTCTCTTACTTCCTCCCTCTCTCCCTCCTGCTCTATCTGAAGATAAATGCAAAAATGTCCTCGGGTGAGGATAAAAAATAAATACATAAAATTTTTGTCTAGTATATCTGCCATTAAGTTTATTTCAGGGACATTTTCTGTTGATATATATATTTTTCCATTTTGAATGGGTTTTTGTATGCCTTGTGATTTTTTTAGTTGAAAACAGGACATTTGAATCTAATAATGTGGTAACTTTGGAGATCAGATTCTCCTTCCCCGGGGTTTGCTGTTTTTGTTACTACTTTTTATTGTTGTAGGCTGTCTCTGTGGCCAGGTTCTCTCTTTTTATAAAATCCTCACCCAAGGACATTTTTCCATTTAAAGTAGGGGGGGGAGGGTGTCGATGTGAGAGAGAGACACTTCAATTAGTTGCCTCCCACACAACCCCGACCAGGGGCAGGGACTGAACCACAACCAAGGTATGTGCCCTTGACAGGAATCAAACCCGCAACTCTTTGGTTCTTGGGCTGACACTCTAATTGCTGAGCCAAACTGGCCAGTGCTACTTATGCTTTTAAAGGATAAAATATATAAAAATGTTTATAAGTACATATAACATTCCTAGAAAGATATGCAGGAAACTAATAACAACTACTGCGTTTGGAAAGGGGAACACAGAGCTTGGGTCTCAGTGCTGGGAGGAAGTCTGACCTTTCTGTGTGTGTATTTTTTGCGCTGACTTTTTATCATGTGCATACATTATTATTCAGAATAATGTTTTTAATGTTATAGATATTTCCTGTGAAAATGAGTGGTCACAGTAGACTCCCAGACAGTCCCTACAAGGTGTTTTTCATTGGCATTCATATTCAAGCTCCAGAATTCAGCTCCTGGGAGTATACTAGTTCCAGGGAACTGGTTTATAGCTTTTAGAGGCTCCCACTTCGAGACTGAGTGACAGAGACTGTCCACCTTGACACACACACTCACCAAAGCAGGAGCTGGCCTGTGGATTAGATTGGATATAAAACCTGCCACTTTACAGACCCTCAGGGTACCATGGCTATTTGGTTCTCCTAAGAAATAAAGTATAAATTCCTTTCATTTGCTTTAGCAGACCCTAGGATTATTGTAATCCATCCTGTTCCTAATGCAGATCAAAATGAGAACCTGGCCCGGTGGCCTGGAATAGGATGAATGAAGGAATGTTTACATGGTGAGCAGCCCCTCAAGACTTGGTTGAGAAATCCCACATTTCACTGCTCTTAAAAGCTCCTTAAATTGTGAATAGATGGTGTCGTCGTCCCTCCCCCTCTCCCTCCAACTAAAGGATACTTGTTCTTTCGGTTGCCTTAAGTTTATTTTAAGTTCTGTCACCATGCCACTCTGGGCTCTGATCTCATCGGTTCTTAAAGGCTAAATAGGGCTAGATATCAGACACCAGGGCTGGAGACCTGGTCCGGCTCCACTCAGTGACTCAGCCTGGACGAGGTCCATGCCCAGGGATGTATGGGCTGAAAGGACTGGAGGCAGAGTTCTATGTAGAAAAGGAAGCAGGAAGAGACCTGTGGTCATTAACAAGCCTTTTCACGTTTCTTCTAGCGTCATTGTTGACATATGCCAACATTTGTTATTAGCAGATATTTGCAAAAGATAGACTTTAAAAAGTCACCTTTAAGACTAATCGGTTTACATAGGGTTTAAAGATAGGACTAATGTTTTTTTTCTCTTTCTAACTAGTATGAAAATGGTAATGTCTGTTGTCAGATTATCTACAGTTTGAGTTTCTAACCACTAGGGGCTGACCTAACTCCACTAAAAACAACTATTTTCTAAACGATTTCTTTTGTAAATTATTACATTTCAGGATGACTGAATTACACTGTTTATAAACTGTACTGTCTAGAACCATTCCTCCCAACACGGAAGGGCTTGATGTCAGAAGAGAGGAAAATCTCAGGTTTGGGTTCACAGACAAGGGGTACGTGTAGAACAAGAAATAACACAAACCAAGGAGAACATGAGAACCAGAAGGACATCAAAAAGCCCTAGCCCAGTGGCTTGCCCCTCTGTATCAGGATCACCTAGGGAGCTCACCTGCATGCCCTACCCCATCCCCTCGTGAATCAGAATCCCCAGGAGAGAGATCTGAGCCACATATGTTCAAAAAAGCGCCAAGGTTGAATTTTATGTGCAGCAAGGTCAGGACGACTGTGCCAGCCTAACACTCACTCTAGAGAGGGACCGGAGGCTCTGAGAGGCAGGGATCTCGGTCAGCCATACTTCCACGCTGTTCCTGGGCTGGGGAGAGCCCCAGCCTCCTGGCTCTCCACCCCGTGCTCTCTGGGAGGACACATTCCCCTCGGTGCGTCAGGACACATGTACATTACACCACTTACGATTTGGTTTCTGGCAATCTTCTTGAATGATACGGTGGATCCTTCTGTGCAGTTCTTTGTCTTCTCTGGTTACCTAAATAGGAAAAACAGTTTGGAGGGAAAGTGTTCCTAAGTAACACAGAGGTTGTGTCATAGAGACTCTCAAATTAGTATTTAAGATAGTTCCCAAAGATTTCATAACAGTCATCATCCCTACACCAACACCATGGTTTTCAGTACTTGGCTTATTGTCAAACCAGTTCTGTCCCTCAGCAGCTCACTGCTCTGTAGCTGACCCAGAGGTACACTCCTTGGGGGGTGTACTGGGGCCATGATGTAAAGATAAATTGGAATACTTTTTTAAAAAAATATATATATACTTTTTTATCCTCACCTGAGGACATTTTTCCATTTTTTGTTCAGATAGAGCGGGAGGGAGAGAGAGAGAAACATCGATGTGAAGGGACACATCGAGTGGCTGCCACCCGCATGACCAACCAGGGCTGGGGACAAACTGCAACCGAGGCACGTGCCCTTAGCGGGAACCGAACCCGGGTCTCTCTGTACCGCAGGCCGACACTCCAACCGCTGAGCCAAACTGGTCAGGGCTAAAAATATTTTTTTTGAGAGGAAGAAACATCAATTGGCCGCCTCCTGCATGCTCCCTACTGGGGATCCAGCCTGCAACCTGGACTTGTGCCCTGACAGAGAGTCGAACCAGTGACCTTGTGGTACATGGGATGATCCTCAACCAACTGAGCCACATCAGCCAGGGTGAAATTGGAATACTTTTATGGAGCAACTTTCTTCTTAAATATTTATAACACATTCATAAAATGTTTCTTATTTGTTATGTTTTTGAGGGAGGCACAAGTGACCAAAGTCTCTGAACTCAACCCCAGTACTGTTTCTTCTGGGCTCTAACACCTGCCTCATGTTTCATTAGCTTTATTCCTCCTCCCAACCAGAAGGAAAAACAAAAGAAATAAAACTGTAAGGAGCTAGCAAGAGAATAAATCTAGCCTATCCCTTGAGACCCTTTCTGTCTTCAAAGGCAAACCTATCCTAGTTCCTTTCTCAACCAGCTCAGATAAGAGGAAACTAGCAACCAAATGAGCCCCCCTTTATGTTCAGTAATAAATCTAATAACAAAACAAAAAACAGAACGAGTCCAGCCAGTGTGGCTCAGTGGTTGAGTGTCAACCCATGCACCAAGAGGTCGCTGGTTTGATTCCTGGTCAGGGCACATGCCCAGGTTGTGGGTACAGTCCCCATTGTGGGGCATGCAGGAGGCAGCCAATTGATGGTCTCTCTCATCGATGTTTCTATCTCTCTCTCCCTCTCCCTTCCTCTCTCTCTAAAATCAATAAACAAAAAAAATTTTTTAATAGAGAAAAAGAGGAAGGAAGGAAGGAAAAAAAGAAAGAACAAAAAAAAGCATACAAACATGTACAGGATGGAGCAAAGTAGGTCTACAGTTGCTCCTATGGAAAATAATACAATAATTAATAATTAACATAAGAATAAACTCTGTTTGACGAACTCACAACTATAAACCTACTTTTATCCCACCCTGTATATCAGTAGTGCTTGTTTTGTGTGTGTGTGTGTTTTACATTTTAATGTGTTTTTATTGATTTTTTAAGAGAGAGATAAAATGAGAGAGAGAGAGAGATAGAAACATCGATGTGAGAGAGAAACACCAATCGGCTGCCTCCTGTACGCCCTCTACTGGGGATGGAGCCCGCAACCTGGGCATGTGCCGAACTGGGACTTGAACCCGGAACTCTCAGTCCATGGAACGATGCTCAATCCACCGAGCCACACAGGCCCGCAGGAGTGCCTGTTTGATGGGACTTATAGAGTGACCTATCTAAGAATGGGGACAGGGAACCCTGGTCAAGGGCATGTGCCTAGGTTGCAGGTTCAATCCCTGGCCCTGGACAGGTGGCAACCAACCAATGTCTCTCTTTCCCTCCCTTCCGCTCTCTAAAAATCAGTGGAAAAAATATCCTACGATGGGGATTATCAAACAAAAAAAGGACTGGGTCACTGATAATACCTGCCTTTCACAAGGTACTGTAAAGACTAAACGAGGTGAAGTGGGTGGGAGCCGCTGGGAGCTGGAGAGCACTATACAAACAGAAGTATCTACATTCCTGGGATAACTACTACACTGAGGCCAGGTCCTCAGGAAAACAAATCTGCAAGGCCAGGTGGTGAAGTTGAAAGGGGAGGAGTGGTCAGGCAAGGGGGATGGTTCTACTGAAGAAAAGGGAACGATTATTGCTCGGTCACCCCATTCCAGCTCATACTGATTCATAGGAGGAAGTGCCCTAGCCCTGCCACGCCTTAGCCGTGGACTGCTTGTTCCTGGGCTTTTCTGAAAGAGCTGCTTTCTATAGACTCAGCTGGCCAACCCCAGTCTCCCAGGGACAACGTGACTGCGGGTGGATAGGTGCAGATGGGGGGTTATTAAGGTGAGCTGCCTGCCATGAGCTTCTGCAACCCCACAAGAGGCAACCAACTCCCACCAGGCCTTCCCATCTCAGGAGGGAGTGGACTGCACTCACCTTTATACAGATTGGAATACCCTTTTCAAAAGCTATTCAAATTGTATTTAAAACATCTCTTAATTATTATTATTATTTTTTGTTAATCCTCACCCGAGGATATTTTTACATTGGTTTTTAGATAGAGTGGAAGGGAGGGAGAGAGAGAAACATCTATGTGAGAGAGACACATCAATTGGTTGCCTCCTGCACAACCCTAACTGGGGCCGGGGATCGAACCTGCAACCCAGGTACGTGCCCTTGACTGGGAACAGAACCAGAGAACCTTTGGTCTGCAGGCTGACGCTCCAAATTCTGAGCCAAACTGGCCAGGGAAAAACATCTCTTAATTTTTAAAAATCTCTAAAATGGGGAATCATTTTAGAGAGTAAATCAATATAAAGAAAATGTCCTATTAAAGAAAGCTTCCCCTGGGGAATCATAACTGTAAATAGTGAGACTTCTGGGACACCTCAGAGTTTCGATCTGTCTCCAGGAAAATCACTTGTAGCTGAAGCCACATCTATGCTACTGATATCAATGGTCATGAGGAGGCACAGTTCAGCCTGCCTCTTCCAATATTCAAGGTAGGTAGTGAGAGGTAAACTTTTAACCCTGAAAATATGAGACAAGCAAACACTTGTACCTCTAGTGAGAATGTCAACTGGTACAAGCTTTTGGGTAGCTAACCAGACCGTGTTGACCAAAAGCTTAGAGGTACATGCCTTTGCTCCAGCAATTCCCCTTTTAAGAGTCAACCTTACAGAAATACTTATATAAGTTCAAAAAAATAGTTGTGCAAAAATAGTTACAGCAGCACTATTTGTGAGAGCAAAAGCTGGAGACACCATGAATGTCCCTCAGAGAGGAGTTAAAACATTTATGGCAAGTTCCTATAACATGGAATATCATGCAGATGTCAAAAAGAATGAGGTAGATTTATAAGTACTAACATGGAAAGATGCTGTGATGTGCTATTTTGGTGTCAAAAAAGTTGCTGATCATTATTTAGAACAGTGGTTCTTAACTGTCTCAGGGGACACATGGCGGTGTCTGGGGCATTTTTGGTTGCCATAATGGGGTAAGAGGGGCTACTAATGGCATCTATTGGGTGGAAGCCAGGAATGCTGCCAAACTTCCTACAATGCATGGGAAAAGCCCCCCAAGACAAAGAATCATCCAGCTTAAATAATGCTGAGGCTGAGAAATCCTGACTTAGAGAATGATCACATTTTTTTTTTTAAAACAAAAAAGCCAAAGGAACATGTATTTATACGTGTGTTATTTGTAAATGCATAAATGTCTAGGATATACTGTTAAAAGTGGTACCTAAGGGTTCCTTAGTTTATGTACCTCTTTAATGATTGATTTTTAAAAATAGTAAATAGGGCCCGGCTGGTGTGGTTCAGTGGTTGAGCATTGACCCATGCACCAAGAGGTTGCTAGTTTGATTCCCAGTCAGGGCACATGCCCAGGTTGTGGGCTAAATCCCCAGTGGGGGACATGCAGGAGGCGGCCAGTCGATGTTCTCTCTCATTGATGTTTCTATCTCTCTCTCTCTCTCAAATCAATTAAAAAAAAATGTTTTAAAATAAATAAAACAGTAAATAGGTATTCTTTTTTTTTTTTAATCCTTACCCGAGGACAATTTTTCCATTTTTTGATCTGATTGAGTGGGGGGAGGGGGGGTGGAGAGAAACATCAATGTGAAAGGGACACATCGAGTGGCTGCCACCCGCATGACCAACCAGGGCCGGGGACAAACTGCAACCAAGGTACGCGCCCTTAGCGGGAACCAAACTTGGGTCTCTCTGGACCATAGGCTGACGCTCTAACCGCTGAGCCAAACCGGCCAGGGTATAAATAGGTATTCTTAAGCAATAAATATATTTATAATTGAAGCAAAAAGGAAAAACATTAAGTTGCAAGTCTCTTACATAGAAGAGGTTATCATAACCACCATCTTTCTGGTAGATGAACCCTTTTTCCTGCAGGAGTTTTATAGCATTCTTAAATATGCTATGGATTGCCTTGGAAGTACTGTCGTTCTTGAAATCTGCCTGTGGGAAGAAGAAAAAGGAAGAAAGTAAGTCCCATCTTACAGCACCTGAGAGCAACTCCCTAGACCAACTGGTTTATGAATTCACCCAACATGCTTTTCATCTGCTGAGTCAAAAAGATCCAGGTATGCACCTGCCTAGCAGGATGGTGTTTAAGGACTGGGACGTTTGCTGTGGCAGGGTCATGCCTGACAACCTGACTTATGACTCTTTTTTTGTTTAATTCAATGATGTAAAATGGAAAACTCAAAATGACAATCTTTATTTTTTAATACATAACTAAAACACTGTATACTTATTAGTTCTTGGTTTTTTTTTTCTCATTAAAATCATGGCTATATACAATCTCTTCCTAAGGACTTCAAAGAATTTTACACACACTGAAATAAGTTGGGGATTCCAGCACATGGAAAGTATTAAAGAGCCCTGGCCGGTTTGGCTCAGCGGTTAGAGCGTCCCTGCGGTCCGGAGAGACTCGGGTTCGGTTCCCGCTAAGGGCATGTACCTCGGTTGCAGTTTGTCCCCGGCTCTGGTTGGTCGTGCGGGTGGCAGCCACTCAATGTGTCCCTTTCACATCGATGTTTCCCTCTCTCTCTCTCTTCCTCTCTCTCCCTCCTACTCTATCTGTTCAAAAAATGGAAAAATGTCCTCGGATGAGGATTAAAAAAAAAAGAAAGTATTAAAGAGTCTCCTGATTTTAAATGGAGAACAATGGTGGCAAATAGCTCTGCAGAGACCCGTCCAAGGTGGGTCTGCGGGCTAAAGGTGGCCAGGGTCCTGGAGTGAAGCAAGACCACTGTACGGAAGGAACTCGGCTGCTGTCAGTTTGCGGTCTCGTCAGTTTCAGTGTTTCTTCCTTTCTCTAAGAGATAGGTTTGCCTAGAGAGGTTCCCAGTCCAGCCTATTTCTTATTCCCAAGGAAGCCAAGTGTTCAGCTGTGTCCCATGGTTAACTAGACTGTGTGGTTCTTGAGTTGGGGACTTTGTATTTCATCTCGGCCACCTTCTCCCTGGCACCCAGAGGGTGGTCAAGAAAACATTTGTGTAATCAATGGAGGCTGTATCCTTCTGATTACTCCATTAGGGGTTTCAGTTCATCCCTACAGCAAAGTGATGAACGACTGCCTTCAAGGTACAGATCCATTTTTAAAGTGACAGAAATTTGTCAAGATATTAAAAAGAACAGAGCAGCAAAGAAATGTGGCAAAGCATCCAGAACAGTGTTTGAAGGCCAAGTCCCATCTCCAGTGAAAGGCACTGATGAAGGCTGTCTGGGGCAGCACCCAGAGATGCTGAAAAAAAGAATGTGCTTAAGATTTGCTGACCACCCTTCCTCAAAGTGACAGGGAAAGAACTCCCCAAATGGCCTTGAGTGCTGACAATTCCATCCCTAGAAAAACTCCTCTTTCGAGAAGAGGCCTCCCAAACAGGCATCGCTTTAACCTAACAGATCCTGGCAATGTTTGTGTTTTCCCGGGCCAAAGAGGAGAGCCTCCAACTCCTAAATTGTAGTCTAAGTTTTTCCTTAACAGAACAAGCTGCAGAACCTGGTCATTAGAACTTAAGGCCTAAAAGTTGACAAAGATTTCAGGTAATAACAACATCCATTCTCTGAAGGGAGAATAAGGCCCAGAAATATTTGATGCCTCCCACCAGCAGAAAAACTATCTTGGTGCATTTAGAATAAACACCTTACCTAGCAATCCTCGACCACAAGATAGAGCTAAATTGGGAACTAACTAGAAATGTTACGTAATTAGTCCTCTCATTAAAAAAGACTCTTGGTTATCCCCAGACCATACATATAAAGCCTGGTTCCCCTCCCAGACTTCAGTAAGACCAAGCAGCAGGGAGCGAGGTTGCTGGGCCGAGAGCTCAACAGCAGTTTCAGCTGTCAACTAGGAGGACCCAACAGAAAAACCTCTCTGTAAATATAAACAACATGTGAAACTTCCTTTCCAAAAACACTTGCCTCAGCCGACCTCGGGACAGATCTCCCTGCTGCTTATAAAGAAGACACAGTCTCTAGGGTAAAACCTCCCATCATCTCTTCTAGCCAGTAGCTCTTCCTGGCCTGGGATTTGTGTCCTTCTTGTCTTTTTCTAAAGAGCAATGACAGACTCATCCGATTCAGGAAACTGAAACTGCTCAGAGGAAAAAAACTGACTGGCTGAATGTGCTGAGCCTTAGCAGGCCTCTCCTCGCTGCAGGTCAGGAACTGGGTGGATCTCTGAAATATATATAGTCTTCATTTCCAAACAAACTCAACATTTATCCAGCTGTCAAAGAAACAATGGTTTTGCAAGGCCTGCTTATCAGGTTTCTGGATTTGCTAAGAAGGGCCACAACGGAAAAAAAAAAAAGAAAGAAAGGAGAAAACATTCAAACCCACTCTCCCCTTGCCTATCAACCAGAAAACTATCATAATGGTTTTTTGTGAAGCTTTCATCTGTATGACAACACAAAGCACCAAAAGATCTAGGGTTTCACCATCACTGTAAAGCATCCCAGTTTCCCAGGCTCAATTAAACAGGATTCGATTGAATGACACTGACCTCCCCAAGCAGAGCCATGTGAGGGAACAATTCATAATTGATGGAAAAATAATTTCCAAAGACAAAGCAAATAAAGCACCATATTAATTTCTTTTTAAACATACAGCGCTGGGCAGACACAAGTTTCTGCTCTAGCCATTTCAAAACAATATCATGACAAAAGTTCTCCGCAGATTGCTTTGAATGGAGGAGCCTCTTAGTCCTCGGAGACCTCAAGTCTCCCTACTTAATTAAAGCCATCGCAGAAGTACTGGTTCACAGGAAGGATGTGGTCTTCGTTAAGCTTCCAAGTTTCCTTCCAAACATGCCAACAGAGTGGTCAGAAGTCCTAGGAGGCCAACTTGGCATTGAGCCCCCTCTAAATGATTAAATGGAAGAAGGTCAGTCTTGCTGTCAGGGGACAGCTGGAGAGCTGCGACTGTTTAGAAGTGACTGTGGCACAGGACAAAGCGGCCAGTCATGACCCTCTCCACCTCGGTGTTTCCTGAAACAATATCCCTCATCTCTTGTACGAAATCATGGGTCACTCGACACACGCCTGGTGCCAGGAAGAGATAATTAGGTTCATGAATGAAACTGAGAAGCAGGGGTGGTGCCTAGGAGGTGGGATGGGGACCTGGTATCTGTTCTGCAGGGTCGTGAAGAATAACTTATGTCACCTAACAAGGGGACTCAGAGCAGCCCTGTTTGTAATGGCAAAAGATCAGAAAAAATCTGAACAGTCCAGGAATAAGGAGGCTGGTTACATAAATTACGGTACATGTAACAAAAGATTATTATATAGTGACAAATCTATGTACAGCTAGGAAAGGATCTGTAAGACATACTGTTCAAAGAAAAGCTAGGGACAGACTCGTGTTTAGCATCATACCATTTCTGTAAAAAAGGGATACAACTACTTCTAGTTTATATATGCACAACAATCTCCAGGTGGCACTAGTAACAGTGCTTGTCTTTAGAGAAAGAGGATGGGAGGGAGGATGAGAAGGAAACCTACTTTTTTTTTATACTCACCCGAGGACGTTTTTACATTTTTTTGTTCAGATAGAGTGGGAGGGAAAGAAAGAGAGAAAGAGAGAGAAACATCAACGTGAAAGGGACACAACGAGTGGCTGCCACCCGCACGACCCACCCATGGCTGGGGACAAACCGCAACTGAGGTACATGCCCTTAGCGGGAACCGAACCCGGATCTCTCTGGACCACAGGCCGGCGCTCTAACTGCTGAGCCAAACCAGCCAGGGCAGGAAACCTACTTTTAACTAGATACTTTCAGGGACTATTTGAATATTTATTTATTTATCCTCACCCAAGGACATTTTTGCATTTATCTTCAGATAGAGTGGGAGGGAAGGAGAGAGGAAGAGAGAGAGAGAAACATCAATGTGAGAGACACATCGAGTGGTCGCCACCCACATGACCCCAACTGGGTCCCAGGACAAACTGCAACCAAGGTACATGCCCTTAGCAGGAACCAAACCCGGGACTCTCTGGTCTGCGGGCTGATGCTCTAACCGCTGAGCCAAACTGGCCAGGACTGAGTTTTTAAATACTATGCATTCTTCAGTTAACTGATAATTATCGAAAACTTACTTTATGACAGACCTGCTCTAGGCCCTGGTTCTAGAGGACAGAGAATAAGACAGACGAGACCTCTGCTCTTAGAGAACTTAAATTCTGGTAGAGGAATAAACAGGCAAATAAATAAATACTGGTGATGTAAGGAACTATGAAAACAGGGTGATAACCTCGTGAGGAAGTAGGTGGCTATCAGAGCATATGGTCAGGGAGGGCAAGAAGGTGACATTTAAGCAGAGATCGTCCTCTGGTGGAGTAAGTGAAATAAATAAATACAAGTCTTGTTACAATAATAAAAAAATACAAGAGTTGCAATGAAAGGGAAAGTCTAACACCCAAGTCTCAAATAATTCTTAATTCCAGGCAAATATGGAAACACCAAACAACTTAAGTTCACCTGTAACACTAGGGGTGAAAAAATGGGCATAGCTCTTTCCAGAAGAAATAAAAAGGACTTGAAGTACTCCCTGAAATTTCTACATATGAACCAAAAGCAATACAACTTGGTCTTTATTCAAACTCCCAAAACGCAAGAGGTTAACCTTATTCTGAAGAAGAGACAGCAAGTCAATAAAAACCTTGGCTCAAGTTCAATAAACAACCTTTGAAGGACAATTAGCTCTTCTCATCTCTTACCCCTACAGCTGGCTCCTGCTGAGATTCAATACCCGTCTCTGTGAGTACTAAGAACTAAGTACTATGAAGCTTAGACTATTATTTTTTTTCTACTCAAAGATGAAGCTTAATGAGACTATGCGAGAGGAAAAGGGCAGGTCCACTCTTATTTCAAATTCTTAGAGGTCAGTGACCTTCTCAGAATAGAAAGGACACGTGAGAGCCACAGCCTCTATTTCCTGGGTCCACCCTGTGAGTCTTAATGCCGCAGTCACGTTCACTCACACCCTTCCGCTGCAGACTTGGGGCAGGGGACTGGAATTCTCATGTGGGCAAGCTGCACTTACTTGCTTGGAGCAGGCGCTGTGAATCACGGGCTGATTAGCAAGAGACAGCAGAGACTCCTCCATTTCCAACTCCTGCTGGTAAAAGGTCTGCACTCTGTTATTCATGAGGAATTCTTTGGCTTTTTCACTCAGCAAACATGTGAGATTGGTAAGGTCCAGGTCTCCTGGGTTTTTGCTGGGGAAAGTTTTATTTATGTATTTGTTTTATTTATTTAGGAGAGAGAGGAAGAGAGAGGGAGAGAGAGAAACGTCGATGAGAGAGGAACATTGATCAGCTGCTTCCTTCATGATCTGGGATCGAGCCCGCAACCTGGGCATGTGCCCTGACCAGTAATTGAATCGGTCACCTCTTGGTCCATAGGATGATGCTCAACCAACTGAGCCACACCAGCGGGTGCTGGGGAAAGTTTTTAAAAGCACTGTAGAAAATATCACCTCTTTTTGGCGTGTCTAAAACATAAACTTAGCTAGGAAATTCAACACTATATTGATGCTTGGTTTTGACAACTCATACTGTGAACATTGTGTGGTTGTTTAAAAGGATGAGGCAGAACTCCGAGAACTAAGATATTCATGACAGCTTAAGAGAAAAAGTCAAGTTACAGAACAGCATGTAAGGGATGATCCCATTTTCGTAAAAAAGCAAATGACAACCTACGAAGAACAGAGGTAGATACCACTGCTTGTGTATGTACAGAGAAAAACATCTAAAAGGGTACACATCAGCCTATGGACGCTGGGAACCTCTAGGGCATGGCTCTGAGGCAGGAAAACGGAGGAATTTCACTTACTTTTTACAGGTCTATAGTTTAGGGCATTATTTAACATAATTTAAAAAATATATGTAATATATACACGTTTAAAAAGATCAAAGTGGAGCGGGCCGGTGTGGCTCAGTTGGTTGAGTGCCATCCGTCCTGTGCACCGAGAGGTCCCAGTTTGATTCTGGGGCAGGGCACATGCCCAGGTTGCAGGCTCAATCCCCAGTAGGGGGCGTGCAGGAGGCAGCAGATCCATGTTTCTCTCTCTCCTTCTCCCTTCCTCTCTCTCTAAAATCAATAGAGACATATATTTAAAAACAAAAAATCAAAGCGTATACAGTGAGAAGTCTTCCTATTCTCCTCCCAGTTCCCACGCCCTTGGCAACCACTATTACTGATTCTGTCTTCTTCCAGAGTTCTTTGATGCACACATATACTAAGAAATACACAAATATTCTTACTCCTCCTGTTTGTCTACCCCTTGCTCCCACACACAGAAGAGTACAACCAGCCCTGGTTGAGAACAAATGGCATCGCATTTTGTAGCTTTTTATAATGATGTATCGTGGTGAGGTGTTTCAATGATGATACACCTTGGTGCAGTTTTCTTCAGGTTTCTTGCCTTAGGGCTCGTTGAGCTTCTTAGATGTGTGAGTTTATAGCTTTCATCAAACTTGGAAACTTTTAGCCATCACTTTTTCAAATGTTTTCTCTCTGCTCCCTCCGCTCCTTCAGGGACCCCAGTTATATATATATTTTCCCTTAACAACCTCAGAACATCTGTACTATTATCACCTTCACTTTCTGGACAAGGACACTGAGGCATACAGAGGGCGAGCAGACTTGCCCAGAGCCTCACATGAGTAAGATGATGATTTCAGGATTGGAACCCAGGGCTACTCCAGCATCTGGGGTACCCCTGGTTGGCCTTCCTGCTGAGGTCACATCTTCAGCAGTGATTGGCCATAACTTACCTTAGTGCCTCTTTTTCTAGGGCTGAGCTTTGGAAAGGCTGGTCATAAACTTTCCTGTAGATCCTGGGCAGCTCAAGCATCCTTGCGATTTGAATGTTGCACACTGGATCGTCTACTTTATCTAAGAAGCCATGGGGAAAATATGCCACAGAAATTACACTGAGATTGGTTCTTTCCTTTGTCCAAACTGCTGCTAGGATGACAGTAAATGAGGCACTCAGAGGGTCTCCTTCCTTGTCAGTGCCCAGGAACCATACAGTTCAGATGCACTAAATACTTCCCAATCATCATGCAAAAGGGAATGCAATGCCCTAAATGTCACACACTTGGCCAGGAGTGGACTGGGACTAGGGAGAGCACATCTGCTTATTCATTTATCTGTTAAATGATGGACAACAGGAGCCCTCCTAGAGATTCCCAAGCAAAAACCAGTCAGAGCAGTGCGAAGGGCATCACTCAGATAACATGGGACTGTCATATATCTGATTAGCTGTTTTCTTTCAAAGTTAATGAACTTAATGGTACTCAAGAAATCTCCATCATTCTGAAGAATATGAATACTCTGCCCTAAGGGGCTTCACACGTGGAACTTCAAAGTACTTTAGAAACTCCTGTGTTGTCCAAATAAATTTCCCAGCTACACGTAATAAATCATGTGTTTTCTTTCCCAATTTATTTATAGTTACCTTTCTTTAAAATAAATTTAAGAAATGCTGCTTTTCCAAAAAAAGCATGTTATAATATATAATTTCCTCCATTAAATAATCTTTTTATTTGAACCCTTTAGAAGTTTGACTTTTAGCTAAACAAGTTTACTGGACACACACCCAGAATAACAACCAATTTGCCAGAAATATCTTGTACTTACAATGAGCAGTGGCATGAATTTCTCGCTCTTCTCTGTATGTGCGGACATAACCTCTGACCCGGATAATGTCCCCAATGTCTATCTTTGTTCTCTGCTCAATGGTCTCTTGTAGCTTCTTAAGCTGTGAGGTTAAGCTCAGTTCTCTTGCACTTGGAGCAGCTATAGTTGTTAGGGCCAGAAAGAAAGAGAAAAATGCATAACATAATCACTCCACCACATTTGTGAGATAGTTGGGGGTAACACCAACACATTTATTTATTCTACTTTGGATTAGTTGTTCTACTATAGGAAATCGGCATAGCCTTTTGAAATCCTCTACTGAACAAAAGGCATTAGCTGTAATTATTCAAAAGTAGGGTGAAGGGAACAGTGTCTAGAAGTCCTTCATCACCAGTACAGTCAAAGGGCTCCATGGAGTCCTGAACTGAATTCTGTATGGGTTCAGCTGGGTTTGGTGGCAATAGCTCTCAACAACCCTTTAAAGTGTCCTTGCAGCCCAGCCGGTGTGGCTCAGTGGTTGAGCGTTGGCCCATGCATCAAGAGGTCGCCAGTTTGATTCCTACTCAGGGCACATGCCCAAGTTGTGGGTCCGATCCCCAGTGGGGACATGCAGGAGGCAGCCCATCGATGTTCTCTCTCATTGATGTTTCTATCTCCTCTCCCTCTCCCTTCCTCTCTCTCTCTCTAACATCAATAAAGAAAAAAACAGTGTCCTTTGCACACCCTGGCCAGTTTGGCTCAGCAGTTACAGTGTCAGCCCATGGACCGAAGGGTCACAGGTTAAACTCTGGTCAAGGGCACATACCTGAGTTGCGGGTTCAATCCCCAGCCCCAGTTGGAGTCAGGTGGGGGGCAACCAATGTGTCTCTCTCACATCGATATTGCTCTCCTCTCTCTCCCTCCCTCCCACTCTATCTAAATGGAAAAATATATGTGGGTGAGGATAAAAAAATAAAAATAAAATAAATGTCCTTGTAGCAAGACCGAGGTCTGAAATAAGGGTAAAGGGGGCACGAGTCTCTATTTGTGGTTCTGTTTATGAAGGGGGACAAATTCACCTTAGGCTCATTTCCTAAGTGCTCAACACCCTATTCTCTCACCTCTCATCTTTGTTGGGTAACTAGGCTAATCTCTCTCTCTCTCTCTCTCTCTCTCTCTCTCTCTCTCTCACACACACACACACACACACACACTCACACCACTTAAAACTATAAACTTAAGCAACAGAGTTGTTGTGCATGATCTAAGTTAACCATCATATCATGAGCTTAGCACAATGCCTGATCCACAGGAAAAATTCAATAAATGTCAGCTATTTGTGAAAAAAAAAAAAAAAAAAAAAAAAAATTAAGCCCTTTGAACAAAATTATTTTGTTCTCTTTGGGGTTTTTCATTGGGGATTACTGGATAGAAAAGTATAAAAAGGTTCATAGTTTATTACATATTGTCAGAATGTTTGCCGGAAAAAAATGATCAAACTATTCTCTTTTTACAAGGTGTCACCAGCCACGCGTGCATGCTTGTGGCTCCCACACCGGTTTTGGTCATTTGGATTTTTAATACCTTAGAAAATACGTAATAATTTTATAATGTTTTATTTTCCTTTAAAGTTGCCAGAGAGGCTATGTGTTTTTATACAAGATGGTCTGTTCTCTGTATTCTTCTTCTCTTTTTTGGTTAATCCTCATCCACGGATACTATTCCACTGATTTTTTAGAGTGTGAAGGGGAGGGAGGAAGGGAGGGAGAGAGACAGAAACATTGATGTAAGAGAGATCAAACCTACAACCCTTGACCAGGAATCAAACCCAAGACCCTTCCGTCCATAGGCCAGTGCTCCAACTGCTGAGCCACACTGGCCAGGGCTGTATTCTTTATGTATAAGCTTTTCACCTCTTTTGAATATGTCAATTTCTGAAAGATTTTTAGGGAAGCTTTGTCAAGTTATTCGTACTACATCCACTTTCCCCATACCATCGCATTCTTTCTCTTTCATTTCATTACATAAAATTGTGAAAAAAATCTTTTGGTTTATCTCTCGTCACTGATGATAGCTTTCAGTGATTTAACAGGGACTCAGGAGAGCTTAACATATATACCTCAATCTTGATGGGAATAAATATACGACTGTATCATCTATGGGTTATTTTATGGAAGCTGCAAGGTAGGGATGGTGATTACCTTTTTCAATATAATTATCTACCTAAACCAACATTTGTTAAATGTTGATTTATTTCCTACTATTATATTATTTTTGGTTTGTCATATACTAGGGTTCCTATAATGAAATGAATCTCTCGGGTCTATTAATAAAATATTCTATTGTCATATACTAGGGTTTCTATAATGAAATGAATCTCTCTTTTGGTCTTTAATCTAATACAACTTAGATAACTGTGTCTTTGTAATGTGCAAAGACATTACTTTTCTTTTAACACATCTACTGCACCACGGGAAACAGCAACCTCAGGAGCACAGAGGACTTTGTGTATCCAGTAACCAACAGCTAGGAATCTAGACACAATCAGTATTAATGTCACTCAGCTTACTGGGTTTCTTCAGAAAATACCCAAGTATTACTTTTTAAAAGGTTTTCCATCCCCAAGTCCTATTCTACTTAGGCTGAATTTTAAACGTATTTATAAGCTTCAATGCAATCATTTAGACATTATAGGTGACAATAAATTGTTCACATAGCACGGTTGAAATGATCAGACTGATGGCTGGTCTGAGAAAACGAGGCCCAGCTTTCATTTAAAGGGTACATGAAACTACCAAAAAAAAAAAAAAAAAAAAAGGCTCAAGCTGTGTAATTTAATGAGTATAATGAGATGGCTGGAGCCTGGCAGATTTCATTTTAAGTAGCCTATTCCATGCTGAAAGATAAGCCCTCTTTAAAATTCTAATATTAAGAGTCAAGCTTTCTTAACTTTCCCCATAAGCTAAGTCCAAATGGTACATTCAATGTGACATTTATAGGAGTTAATATCATATTCTTATACCTCAACTGACTGGAACATGATTTTGACTCAGACTAAAATTTTGTTTTAAAAAATTAGTCTTCATTGGCCACTTTCCAGTGGAAAGTTTTAAAACTGAGGGCAATTAAACTAAAAGGAGAGAATGGGCCAGTCAAAAACAATTTAAAGATACCATTCCATATATATTACGATGAGAATAATTTTTAGGCTTTTTCTTTGTTCTCTTACCCTCTTTTTATTCTCAAAGCAATTTTCAATTAAGTATCCACCCTGATTGTTCATCTATTTATTCATCTAGTTAAAGATATTATTAAAAATCTCACTCTCAGTATTGATAGCAATTTTACCTTAAAAATGACCAAGTATAAGAGTTATACAATATTTCTGATGATGTCGGTTTTTTTTAAAAAAAGAGTTGACTTTGAAAATTAAAACAATGTCTAAAACAGGGGTCTGCAAACTATTGCCCATGGGCCAATTCCATCCACAATTTGTTTTTGTAAATAAAGTTTTATTGGAATAGACCAATGCTTGTTTGTTTATGTATGATCTACGGCTGTTCTGTTACAATGGTAGTGCTGAATAGTTGAGACGCAGAACATGTGACCCACAAAGCAGAAAACATTTACTACTTTGCTCTGTACAGAAAAGATTTGCTGACCCTTGGCAAAGAAAACGTATGCATCTTCAAACTACACCTTCTGAATGAAAATTGTGACAATACAACAACCATAAATCTGCAAATGATTTTAATATGCTAGACATATGCAAGTTAAATATCTGATAGGTTTATTTCTTGCCTATAATATACCTGCATAAAAACCAGTTGTTAGCTGGCCGGCATGGCTCAGTGGTTGAGCGTTGACCCATGCACCAAGAGGTCTTTGGTTCAATTCCCGGTCAAGGCACGTGCCCAGGTTGTGGGCTAAATCCCCAGTGGGGGGCATGCAGGAGGCGGCCAATCAATGTTTCTCTCTCATTGATGTTTCTCTCTCTCTCTAAAATCAATAAAGATTTAAAAAAATGTAAAAACCTGTTGTCTCTCTGAAAATTTTTTAAAAATAGGTTTTTATTGATTTTAGAGAGAGAGGGAGAGGGAGAGAGATAGAAACATCGATGAGAGAGAAACATCAATCACCTGCCTCTTGCACACCCCCTACTGGGGATGGAGCCCCAAACCCAGGCAGTGCCCTGACTGGGAATCAAACCAGTGAACTTTTGGAATGGCACTCAGTCTACTGAGCCACACAGGCTGGGCTCTCATAATTTTTTTTTTTTATCCTCACCCGAGGACATTTTTCCATTTTTTGTTCAGATACAGTGGGAGGGAGAGAGAGGAAGAGAGAAAGAGAAAGAAACATCAACGTGAAAAGGGACACATTGAGTGGCTGCCACCTGCACGACCAACCAGGGCTGGGGACAAACTGCAACCAAGGTATGTGCCCTTAGTGGGAACCGAATCCGGGTCTCTCTGGACCGCAGGCCAACGCTCTAACCGCTGAGCCAAATCGGCCAGGGCTTAAATTTTTTTTAATCTACAAGGCTTCCTAAGCAAATGTCATATAGTGCCATTGATTTAGATTTTCCCAAATTAGGAAAGGGGAATATAAAAGTTATGTGAAACTGATGGCCAAATTCTAATGTAAATACCACAGGAAATTAGGCACAGGAACATATACGTTTGGTCAGTATAGTCAAAGCAGGGGGGTGAGATTCTGACAGCAAATGGCAGAAAAGAAAGACAAAACCACTTAAAATGTGACCCTGTCACCATGTATAACACAAGACAGAGACCAGATGTTAGATACAACAGCAGGCAATATGTTTTGAATAACCCCACTGTGTGTGGTACCATACTGCACATATCATAAAACGGAAGAAAAATAAGGCCCCACTTTCTGTAGTTTCTCTAGAACCAAAGTGATCACCAACATTGCACCATCTTTTTTTAACATTATGAACTTAAGCAACTCAAAAAACCACGCAACTATTCAAATACACTCAAGAAAGTCTAAATGCTATTTCAGTTATAGTCAATGAGTTTAATATATAATTTTGAAATTATTTTTCAGTTTATATTACTTAATGGCTAATTTCAGAAGAATCCTATCTTAGAATTCCTGGGATATTTGTTGAACATGTAGAAATTTCAGAAAAATGTGGATCTGAATGGCAGCACAGAAGTTAGTAGAAACCACGCAAAAGTTTAAAATCTTCCTTGGCCAAGTAGCATGCCTGGGGCAAGGGAATTCTGACCTGACTGGCAATTAGGCTAAAACATCTTTACTTATGTAATGACTGGAATAGTAAAAGTGAAATGCTGAAACTCCTAGTTAACCTAGTCCCATTCCTGTAGATTTCAGAGGGGGTGAGCATCAAAGAAATGTGAGAGAAAAAAAAACAAGTGTTTCCCCTTTAGTATCAGTTTGTAGAGAAGCCGAAGCTCGGAGTACAATGCTTCAAGTTGGTCAATGTAAATTCATCAGTGGATAGATGTGAACATGTAGGCCTCCAGCTGTTCTGATGAGCTGGTTAGCTGAAAAGCAAAGGACAGAGCAAATAACATTACCTGAGGAAGACTCGGTATTGTTCAACTTTTTCCAGCAGATGCAGTTTATAACTCCAGTGCTATCATCCACTGCAAGAGAAATGTAGAAGAGTAAAACAGAGATTTGGGCATTGCTGGTGAATCAGCACAGTGTTATTGCATTAGGCCATACTGAAAGATGGCCTTTTCCAATACTCTGATTGGGCAAATCCCTTACTAAATTCTCCTTCTACCTTCAGACATAATCTCTCACCCTACACCAGTGGAAACAGCATGTCTGCAATGTCAAAGTAATACATGAGCCCAGTGGAATGTAGTTAACATTTCACTTACCCTACACCTCAAGGGTACTAATGATTCTTGTCTATGCCTCTCCTAAAAATGGTGCCCTCGGGAAGTTAAGAGCAAAAATCTCAATGCCTGCTAACACAGAAAATCAGCCTTGCTCTTATACCCTGCAACAAAAGTGTATCACGTGGTTGGTGGTGACACTTGCTGTCACCACAGCTTTCTGTTACCATTGCTCTTCTACTAGCTCACTGACTTACCTAGACAAAGCATCGAAAGTCTCTGGGCCTAAGTTTCTCTTTCAAAGAGCTTCTGCCCAGTCATCACAGTAGGGGATGTAAAGAAAGCCAAGTACACTGCAGAATAGCAGTTTTATTTTCATAATGAAAATACTTACATCTTGGTCACACAAACAATACTGGTCTGGCCCTGGTACAAAAAAAATAAAAATTTAAAAATCAAAGAATTCCCATTGCATTTGTATTTATGAATGTAGAGATATTTGGAGATGTTTGCTATGGGATGGTAGGTGTTTTTTCTTTGCCTATTTCCTGACAAACTCAGAGCAGACCTTGCTAAACATGGGGTCAGTAGGCTTAATGATTTTTAAAAAAATCATCAGCTATGCCTGGCTGGTGTGGCTCAGTGGCTGAGCATCGACCCATGCACCAAGAGGTAGCTGGTTCGGTTTGATCCCTGGTCAGGGCACATGCCAGGTTGTGGGCCAAATCCCCAGTAGGAGGCATACAGGAGGTGGCCAATCGATGTTCTCTCTCATCGATGTTTCTATCTCTCTCTCCCTTTCTCTCTCTCTAAAATCAATAAAGAAAAAAACATAATAAAAATCATCAGCTAGTCTGTTGTAAAAGCATATGCAATAGATGAGAAACATAGGCAAAACATTTTTTATTGCTGATTTAAATGTGTTGAAAGCCCAAACTGAGAAGAATACTTCTTACACCAAAATAAATTCTAAATGGATTATATTTTATTAAGTGTAATATAGGCAGACTTAAGAAAAAAATTGGGGTGAATACTTTTTTTTAATCCTCACCCGAGGACATTTTCTTTTTTTTATATATATATATTGTTCAGATAGAGTGGGAGGGAGAGAGAGAGAGAAAAACATCAACATGAAAGGGACGCATCGAGTGGTTGCCACCCACACAACCCAACCAGGGCCGGGGACAAACTGCAACCGAGGTACGTGCCCTTAGCGGGAACCGAACCCAGGTCTCTCTGGACCGGAGGAAGATGCTCCAACCGCTGAGCCAAACCGGCCAGGATGGGTGAATACTTTTTAACCTTGGGCTTATAGTTGGTGGGGAAAGACTTCTTTAAGTAGACCTGAAAATCAGAACTCATGTTTAAAAGTCTAATGATACAGCATAGCAATGTTCCAAATGACAGGGTTAGTGTCTTAATATATAAAGAGGCCAAACAAATTAATAAGGAAAAGGCCAAGACCACAAGAGAAAAAGTGGGCAAAAAATATATATATATATAATTCATGGAAGATATAAAAAGGGCCAATGCCCTGGCCAGTTTGGTTCAGTGGTTAAAGCGTCGGCCCATGGACCAGAGAGGTTTGGTTCCCGCTAACGGTACATACTTTGGTTGCAGTTTGTCCCTGGCCCGATTGGAGTCATGTGGGTGGCAACCACTCGATGTGTCTCTCTCACATTGATGTTTCTCTCTCTCTCTTCCTCCCTCTCTCCCTCCGGTTCTATCTGAAGATAAATGCAAAAAAAAAAAAAAGTCCTCTGGTGAGGGGAAAAAAATGGCCAATGAACATAATGTCAGCACACTAAATTCGCTAGTTATAAGAAAAAAAGGAAGCAAATTTAAATAATTTCTTCAACTACTAATATGCCAAGCAGTATTAAAAATACTGATATTCTCACATGCTTGCTCTTAGAGAAACTGTAAGTCTGTATCAAATTTGTAAAGAGCAAGTTTGAAAATATGTATCAAATTTTAAAATGTATACAGTGTATTCTTTGACTTAGCATTTCCTTCCAATAATATATCCTGAGGAGAAAAAGAACAAATACACAGATATATATATATCTTGTATAATGCCAATCATGGCAATATTGTTTATACTACAGGAAGTTGGGAATACTCTAAATGTTCATAAATATGGAATTGGTTAAATAAAATGCAATGGCATAGCATACGAGAATAAGTTATAATGAAGATTTTTCATTGCTGTTAAAAAATATTCATGATTCACTGTAAAACAGAAATTGTATATATAGTCTTTTTTTTTTTTTTTTTTATCTCACCCAAGAACATTTTTCGATATTTTGTTCAGATAGAGTGGGAGGGAGAAAGAGAGAGAAACATCGATGTGAAAGGGACACATCGAGTGGTTGCCACCCACACGACCCAACCAGGGCCGGGCATAAACTGCAATTGAGGTACGTACCCTTAGCGGGAACCAAACCCAGGTCTCTCCAGACCACAGGCCGACGCTCTAACCGCTGAGCAAACTGGCCACGGCTATATAGTCATATATAATCTAATTTCTATAAAACATTAAATAGTGAAATGATTTTAAGACATTAAAATGCTAATAGCAGTTTCTCTTGGAGTATGGGGAAGGAACCCCATATTGTTTGTATATGTGGACTGGAAGCCTATTTCAGAACTATTAAGAGAAAGAAATATGAATAATAGTTATGAGGAAATAGTATTTCTTCAATATTAGGAACATGTTACAAATATTAGAAAGGATGTTCAAACATTGACATTGTTTTTGTCTGATTTACAGGTTTCACATGAGTTATGTACTTATTAAAATTTTCTCTGGCTTTAAATTCTATTTTATAATGAGTTAAGTATCATTTTAAGAAGCAAAAAACTTAATAAGGGTATTATGAGTTTTAAAGAATGTATGACACCTCTAGGCACACCACTTCTCTGGCCAGTGATTTATAATAGAAAGTCAAAAAATGTTAGCACATGAATATCTGTTCTAGAACATGTGAAGTCATTCTGATCTTGACCGTAGCCTCCCAGGTTTCTAGGTCTGAGCTTGAATTGCTGCCAGGTGCTCTGTGTGCTCAGGGCAATGCCGCTAAGCCCTCTGACTTCCTAATTTGTAACCTCTCCAGGCAGAGCCTCTCCTGGCGCCTTGAGGTCTGGCTGCTGAAATGCCCCGAAGGGAAGCATCCTCACAGGGATGTGCCAGGTCATTTCCAGCTGGGCAGTACCACCCGGGCTGCCGGCCTTTTGTTTCAGCCATGGGACAGGTCAGTGTGAGCAGGAAGCACCCCCAGCTTAGGCCTGCAGTGAGTCAGGTGGAGCAGGACCCAGGACGGCAGGAGTGGCTGCCTGGCAGGTGGCCGAGAGCCAAGCTGGGCCCTGGCGACAGCAGGGAGAGTGCAGCTCTCCCTTGAACAGGCTCACATGAAGTAAAGTCGGAAGAGCATTTCTACTCTCAGTTATTTCAGCCTTCAGATGCTTTTGTTTACCCATACCCCACGTACCCGTGACATCTGCTCAGGGAAATGTTCATCGGGGAAGGCTCAGACATAACGCCTTCATCCTTTTATAACTGGAAGAGGGGTTAAGTGAAACTTTAGGTCACGGGCATAATATCTAGCCTAGTTCTAGGGCCAGGACTGATGTCCTCAAATAGCCTCATTTATTTGATTTAAAAAAAAAAAGAAAGAAAGAAAACCAGAAAATTCAAAACTAGATGCTGCTGACTAGGGGCAGAGGAACATGGGTGAGAGAAAAATCAAATTGAGTTATATGTAGAGTATACAGCAACTGGAGTCAATAAATACACTGGACCTATCAGTGGAACCTTGAGCAAGATGCTTTGTAGCCCTTGCTACAAAGGTGGGGTAGCTCAGTTCGTTGGAGTGTTGTTCCATACATCAAAAAGGCTGCAGGTTCGATTCCCATACCTAGGTTGTGGGTTCAATGCCCATTTGGGGCACCTACAGGAGACAACAGATCAATGTTTCTCTCTCACATTGATGTCTGTCTGTCTGTCTCTCTCCCCCCTCCCCCTTCCTCTCTCTCTAAAACCAATGAACATGTCCACAGGTGGGGATTAAAAAAAAAAGCTTTGTAGACCTGGCAGGTTGCTCAGTGGTTAGAGCATCAGCCTGTGGACCAAAGAGTCGTAGGTTTGATTCCGGTCAAGGGAATCAAATCAGTAGTGGTTCAGTCCCCGGCCCTGGTCAGGGTCATGCGGGAGGCAACCAGTCAATGTGTTTCTCTTACACCAATGTTTTTCTCTCTCTCTCTCTTTCTCCCCCACCCCCCCTTCCCACTCTATCTGAAAATAAATGGAAAAATATCATCAGGGAAAGATTTTTTTAAAAAAGCTTTGTAAATGGAAAGATACTATTATTTCATCATTGGTATTTGGAGAGAAGTACTGTATTGTACTGTAGATAATATACTTGCCCACAGCTGGGTATGCTATAAGAACTTAGTGATTGCTTGTTGAATTGTCTTAAGAAAAATAAAACCCGTATCTTTGGTCAAATAAAGCAGAGACGAGAGCCAATAAGGGGATGCCTGAAAAGATGATCTGTTTCAGAGTTTTAAAAACACATATGCTGGGAAAAAGCAGAGGGCATGAGAAATCTCATCTCACGTGTTATTTTATAAGCACAAGACAATCTTCCTCAGGAAAATGAATACACGTCCAAGAATGCAATGTTACTGTAACTGTAAATTATCAATCAAGCACACAGACGACCAAGGAAATGTTCCCGGTCACCTAGTTTAATTGCCTCTGTCTTTCCCCAAGTAGAGCAAGAACACAGGTCCAAGGCAACACAACAGTAAGTGACAATGTCAAGTACAGCAAAGGCTGGAATTTGATGTTTGGCTTCTCACATAATATCTAGCTTGGCTTCTTAACTACAAAGGATCTTAGAGCTGCATAAGGCAATATATTAAATTGCTTACATTAAACTCAATAAAAAAGACCCTTGACACTAAAATCATATTTCGACCATTCACTGGTACCCAAACTATAAAAACCTTTTAGTTTTCATCATCACAAGGGAAGGAAATTTTTCTGATAATGTATATTTGGCCCTTTAAGTAGAAAAAGGCTTTTTAAAAAACTTTTCTGGATATAAATCTTATAAATTATTTTTCACACCTCCCTGCCTTCTTCAAGGGTCTACTTTAGCATTAACCAAGCCTTTTTTTTTTTAAAGTATCACTACAGACATATATTAGCATCCTTTGCTATTTATAGCTATGCTCTAGGTATCAGGTGTCTGTCTCTGATCAACCAGTGATCCTAGACTGCGTATTTTAATTCTTCTGTGTCCTAACTTCCCAGCAGCTGTCACTTGACAGTATTCATTAGAGTTATTCTACCTGTTGCGTCATTTTATACTTAGTCCACGTCAGGAGCTCCAAGGGGCTCCTAATAGAGGAAATGCATCTGTGAGAGTCCCCAGTTGCTCTGAAAGGCTGGAGTTGTTTCAAAGTCATCATTCAACCAAGTGAGGTCCTTCCCCATAAACTCCATGTCAGACACAATCCTTCTTACCTCCGTAACTGTAGAAAGCATTTCTTTCTCTCACTCCAACTACGGTCCCCAAGATATCTACTTGTTTTATTGGATGCCCATTGTAAAAAAATACACCTAAAAAAAAAAAGGCAAAGTCCATATAAAGTATGATTACATTTTCTGTTTCATTCAATGCTAACTGTGGAGGTGGGGTGGAGTGTGTGTGCCCAAAACACTGGCATGCTCCTTACTGAAATTCCAGACTTCAGAATGGGCCCTTGACAAATGGCAAGCCCCAAGAAATCAGACATCCTTCTCTCAAGGGTCATAAGGAGAAAGCCTGGCTTTAAAGAAGTGTGTACTAGTACGGGAAAAAGAAAACCAATGTTGCCCGACTGGGTTTGGTTAATCTTCCCTTTACTCTCTACTTGAGAGTCCCTCCAGAACTCTCATCAGGGGCCCGAAAAGTCATTATCTTACGGAACCAAACACAGCAGTGTATTTTGAGGGACTGGAAAAGGAAGAAGAGGAAACCGACATTTTCGCCGGTGCTTTTCTAGGAAACTAGTCGTTATTTCTATGAATTAGCAGTAGCATTTTTTTTAAAGAGAAGGTAATTAGATTACCGAACACTACACTTTGAGGCCAACACATTACAACTCAAAACCTTTTTGAAATGCTACTGTCGAACCTAGATGACTGATGCCAGCAGGCAGGTTCCCACCAGAGGAGAAACCTGAGAGGATGAGCCCTACCCACTAACACCCAGAGGCCTCTTTTGGACCCAGGGACTGGACTCAGAGGGATTCCTGGCAGTGGTGAGTCCCTCATTCCAACCCAGGTCCCAGTGCTGTCCTAGCTCCCGAAGAGCTTCCATCCTGCCCCCGCTCCCCCATATTCTTACCTGAATATTTTTGGCTTCAGCTACTTGCGTTGTGTTCCTGTCACCTACAGTTAAAGAGTCCTGACTAAAATCGTCTACTTTTCCCTCTTTACTATGGCTGAATTCTTTACTTTCAGAAAGAGGCTATAAACTTTTTTTTTAAATCCTCACCCGAGGACATTTTTCCATTTTTTGTTCAGATAGAGTGGGAGGGGGAGAGAGAGAGAGAAACATCAATGTGAAAGGGACACATCGAGTGGTCACCACCCGCACAACCCAACCAGGGCCAGGGACAAACTGCAACCGAGGTACGTGCCCTTAGCAGGAACCGAACCTGGGTCTCTCTGGACCGCAGGCCGACGCTCTAACCGCTGAGCAAAACTGGCCAGGGTGAGGCTATAAACTTTTAAATGGTGACTTCCTTTAAAAAAAAAAAAAAGGCCCTGGCCGGTTTGGCTCAGCAATCTTGGTGTATCAGGATGATGCTCTAACCAACTGAGCTACCCAGCCAAGAGCACAAGATTCTCTTCTATGGGAAAAGAGCTCAAGAAAATTGGATGGCAGCTCTGTTGACTGAGAGAAAGCTAGGCAATCTAAAAAAAGAAAGTAACCACAACAGATTCTGGCTAATGTTGAGTTCAAGTTGCAGTCTTTCCCAAGTGGCCTCTTTGTTCCTGCTGCCTTTTATTCCACATACTGCCCACAGAGGCCCAAACATATCAGGGGATCCCTGGTTCATTAGGTTCCCCCAGAAGAAAGAAGAGGGTCATACTGGGAGGGTTCCAAAATCCAGGGGCACAGGCAGGTCTGATTTAGCTTTCATTGCAGCCAACCCCTGAACAGCCATGATCACAGCAAAACATGTCTGTGTTTTCTCTCTTATTTATTTATGTATTTATTTTTAATCCTCACCCGAGGACTTGCTTTTTATTGATATTTTTGAGAGAGAGAGAAACATCAATGTGAAACTGAAACATGGATCAGTTGCCTCCCTCATGGACCCAACAGGGGATTGAACCTGGGTATGTGCCCTGACCGGGAATCAAACCTATGACCTTTCGGTGTATGGGATGATGGGCCAGGGCTGTGTTCTCTCTCTCACTTTAATCCTCACCTGAGGATATTTTTCGATTTATCTTCAGATAGAATAGGAAGGAGGGAGAGAAAGAGAGAGAGAAACATCAGTGTGAGAGAGACATCAACTGGTTGCCTCCTGAACGACCCTGACCAGGGCCAGGGACCAAACTGCAACCAAGGTATGTGCCCTTGACCGGAATCAAACCTGAGACTCATTGGTCTGTGGACTGATGCTCTAACAGCTGAGCCAAACTGGCCAGGGCCGTGTTTTCTCTCTTAAAAGTACTTTTAAACTTATGTATTTTTAGTCTAACTGTTGTTAAGTAAGTGATGCTACAACTGCTCTTAGCATCAAAATGCCTAAGAAAATATTTTTTTAATGTATATTTAATATAATTCTTATGAACACATTATTTCCATTTCATTGGTCCTTCTAGAATTAGATAATATAAGTACTGTATTTTGATTTACATGAATGATTCACTATTTATCCCATTATTAAAGTTTGACATTTGGAATAACAGACCATTTCTTTATGCTATGGCCTGTAAACAAAAAGACAAAACAAAACAGGACACCACCCCCAAATCTAAACACCACTACCAACACAATCCAACTATTTTTTATTAGTTTAACCCTAAATTCACAGGTTAATTTAGGAGAGTTGACATTTTGCAACCATTTTGCAAGGCAATTCTGAGGTTATCCAGTGTAAGGTCAAATTTCACAGGTTAAGAGCACAGTCCTCCACAAGACTGATCTCACTTTAGTCACCCGCCCCAAATTTGGGGGTCCTCAGGTCACCCACACTTCTGATCAACTGGCTACAAATTCGGGAATTCCCATGACTTCATCAGGTTTGATAATTTGTTAGAATGACACATAGAACTCAGGAAGGTGCTACACTTACAACTATGATTTTATAATAAAGGGTACAAATCAGGAACAGCCCAATGCAGATATGCAAGGTCTGATAGGGTCCAAACACAAAGCTTCCGTGTCCTTAGGACACAATGATGTATGATTACCAACCAGGAAAGCTCACCCAAGCTTCAGTTGCCAGAGGCTTGTCAGGGTTTCATTACATAGGCATGATAGACTGAATCACTGGCTACAAAATAACTCAATCTCCAGCCCCACCTTCTCTCCCAAGGAGTCAAGCTGAAGTCACATGACTCAAACCCAACCCTCTAATCACGTGTTTGGACTTTCGGGCACTAAAAACCCCCATCCTGCAACTAGGGGCTCAGCATAAGGCATCTCATTAGCATAAACTCTGGTGTGGTTCAAGGGGTCACCATGAATAACAAAGACACTCCTAACATTCCAAAAATCCAAAGATCTTTCAGGAACCAAGGTCAAGGCCAACCACATTCTTTGCCATTCGTTTTTTGTTTTTTCATTCTTTGGCTAACTTCTGTCATTTTAAGATATTCTTTGCTGTTTAAAACATTTCTAAATTTTATGCAATCAAAATAGGAATTTTTACTTTATGGCAAATCAAACAAAAACAACAGAAAAATAAAAACCTAGACTAGTGGCATTTCCCACCCCCTAGAACCCTACAGTATAATCTAAAGATCATTATGTAATTTAAGATTCAACTATGAGGTTTAAAAACCACATCTGAAACATTATCTCCAGTGATAAAGCAAAGATCACCCAACCAGTTTTCCTTGTTTTGTTGCTAATCCATCATAAAGTCCTTCACCTACAGAAAGAGTTAAACCCATTACGTCATGCCCCTGATACTGAGGCAAGATAGTTAGCTGTTAGGAGAATTCCTGACAAGTGGGAAAAGGGAAACTAAAACAGATGGTTAGACAAATAGGGCCAAACAAGTCAAACAATTTACAGCCAGCTAGTAAATCACGAGATCTTATCTTCCCTAACCAAGGACACTTGAGAGCAAATGGTTTACACCTCTCCTTCTTAACCAGAGAGTAAAGAGCTTAAATCTCCCTTGGTCAGGGAGATAGATAACAGAGACCAAATTAGCTCATTGGTGCCAGCCAAACCCAAGAATAGATGAAGTCAGAATAAATAACAACAACAAAAAAAACCAATTAGAGTCTGGGGATGAAAAAGGGGCCACATACTAAATTTGATAAGCTTAGGGGAGGCCTACATGTGGCCTTATAAACTCAAAGAGACCTAAAGTAATCACACAGGGTGGTCTGAACTTGAAAATGTCTAACTAAAGGGGAGTCATGATGGGTAGTTTTGTCCTAGGGCAGTATTTTTCCCTGTTAATTGTATTTATCATGTTAATTGTTGACTATTTACTATCATACTCCCCAAATGTAAAAGTATGTGTCTATTCATTTTACTTTTTATCCAATCCCAGAGAATTCCCCACTTTGCTTTCTCCTGCCTCCCTAATTAACTACCAATGAATTTCATGTAATCGCCTTAGGCCTCCTCCTTTTATTGTAATGTATAAAATAAGGTCCACAACTGCCATTCTCTGGAGCATTTTCTCAATCCGTCGAGATTTTGCTTCCTGGAACCTGTTGTCAAGTTTGGCTCAAATAAACTCATAAACATTCTTACAGATTTGGACGTTTCTTAACGTTGACAAGTCAAACAAATCCATGACAGAGGCAAAACTGAGCAGAAAATGACCCTGGTCCCTCTATGCACTCATTTTGGTACATCAACATATTAAAAAACACACATGGAAAGCTGATGAATATTCTGCTGAAACCCTCCCCTGAGATCCACACCCCCTCCCTGCAAAAGAGAGATAAAAAGTCTTAAGACAAAAGGCCCAGAGAGGGCTCTTTCTGGAGCATGCCCTCCTCTTTCTGGGACTCGAACTTTCTCCTAAACTCTAAGAGTCCCCAGGTGACTTGCAACCAGGGGAGCAGTGGGCAGTGGGCAGCAACAGCTCATCCCAGGCTTAGCCCCTGAACCTGTCTCTGACTTTCCATTGAGCTAACAGCTGCCCTGCCTTGGCTCCCTTCTTTCCTATAACATTTCTAGAGAACCAAAGCGGCTTCACCTAAGCCCTTTCTGTTGCTTATCCTATCCTAGGCCCTTCCTTGTGTCACTATCTCCAGCTTTAATAAACGCACTCTCAAAATCACCTGGACTGGCTTTGTGAAATCTTTCCTGCACAAAGTCAAAAATTCATACACTACAGGCCAGCTCAAGGCTGACTCTCTCGGGCCTAGTCTTTTTTCAGTGACAATACTTCCTTGAGCATCTACAGAAGACTTTCAAGCAAGGCTGGTATTTGGTGTAAATTAATTTCTTCCAGAGGAGATTAGCTATTTAGAATGCCAGACTCTTCTGCAAAATGGACAAATGGGGAGGATGGCTGCCTTCCAAGGAAAAAACAGAACATTCCCAGCAATAACTAGGAAATAAAGGTGTAGTGAAAAGTCTGTACAAAAGGCTTTAGAAAAAGGTCATCCAAATATATTTGTACACAGAACTGGAAACACAGAACATCGTCTCATTAAAACAGTGCATACTTGAGATTCTTGACTACTTCTAACTCACAGCTTGCTATTTATTCAAAACAGCAAAGAGTTTAACCAAACTTCTCATAGAGCACAGTAAACAAGATCCATCCACAGCTATGTGAATTATTTAAATCTACCCCACACTATATTTGTTATATTTTTAGGTATGAAGATTCTGTCTTAAGTGATCCCTACTTTAAAAACAAAAAAATAGTTCTTTAATTTTACACTTATAATGCTTTGTTGCTCCAATTACTATTTCTTGAGGGCCCACTACATGCCAAGCACTGTTCTGAGCACTCGGATTATATACGTGAACAGGGCAGATGATGTCCCTCCTCTCAAGGAGTTTATTTATTTTGATATAAATTCAAAATTTGGTAAGAATTCAAAACAAAACAAATTCCCACAAGAAAATCAGCTTAATCCCCATTTTTACAAAGAAGCTTTACAGGTGAGTCACATCCAGGCCAGGGAAGTGGCACAGTTAGGAAACAGCAAGGCCTAGGGAAGCCTGGTCCAGTGAGCTTTCCAATAGCAGGCCCAGGAAAAAAACAACTGAGCCCTTTAAAATATGAAAGACTTCAAACCCCGGTAAAAAACATTCATCAGCAAAAAAGTTACTCTTCCAAACATCTATTTTTTTTTTTTAAGTTTTAGACTGTTTTTAACTTGCATAGTAATGACCTCATTTGAGGATCCAGGTTAGGTCATTTTTAAAGCCTGCAGGAGGGAAGGCTTTCCTGAAAGCCCCTTAGCCCCAGATTTCTGCCGTTTTGGGGGAGGGTGGGGTGCAGACGCAGCACAGGACATCCACCAGGTGACCAGTCACATACCTGGCACCTGGCAAGACTCCTTCAAGTCCAGGATATCCCTGATGTAGAGTTTTGCAAAGGCTAGAAACACAGGATCCAAACCCCACAAGAGGGAAGGGTTCTCCTCATCACACCGGCTGGATTCAGACTGCATCAGGAGGCTGTGCAGTGGCTTCCAGCCAACCTTGAAAGTCTCACATCACTGAGTCGAGAATCTAGATAGGAGATACAAAATCAGGATGCAAGGCGGTTAAAGTGGGTGAGATTGGCATGGCCCCAAAAGCTGTTCGCCGACGGGTACCCAAAACTCTGCGAGGGGTAAACCCAGGGGTCCAGGATCTGTCAAACTGCACGCCACGGGCTTGAGTTAAGAGGCGATGCCCGTGTGAGGACCCACGAGTGCCTTATGGTTCTCCCCCCGGAATCTCTGCCCCACGAGAGTGCCTCCTTCCCCAAAAGTTAAACAGTTTTTCTCTTCTGGGAGATAGGTTCAGACAGGCGTACCCTGAAACCGCTTTAATGGGCGGGGTCCGGAGAGGAACGGGTGCCCTTGTGGCCACACACTGGTAGTGCACAGGGGTGGGTCTGTAAGTGGCCTGCTCCTGCACGTTTCGGTTTTCCGGATGAGACTGGGAAAGAAGGAAAAGGGAAGCGAGAAGCTGACTTCTTCCGCAGCCCCGCCCGCCGCGCCCGCGCCGCTGGCCCTCTGGTCTCCAGCGCGCAGGCGCGGCCCTTCCGGCACTCGGAGCAAGTCGCCTCTGAAGTTCCGGCGGGGCGACACCGCCCACCGCTCCGGACCTAGACGCTCCACCCAGGCCTTTCCTGCGAGCTGCCCGCGGCCCCGCCCCACCGCGCCCGCGGCCCCGCCTCATCCCGGCGAGGCCCCGCCCCGCCCGTGGCCACGCCTCTTTCTTTTCTCTGCGCGGGTCGGCCCCACGCAGACTTCCAGGTGGGTGGGGGGATTGTGCCACACTCCTTTAACTCAGACAGTTCTCTGGTCCCTCCATCCGCCAGACCGGCGAGTCTCCGTGGGAATGCAGAGCCCAAATCTTCAAGACCTTGGGAACTGGCCTTGAAATTTCCGATGCTTACACCAGGCGCTGCAAGTCACCCTTTCATTCCCCGCCCCAACACCCCGCCCCCCACCCCCCCCACAAAAGGTTGGGATTGGTTCGGACAGTTTTCGGTTGTTTTGTTTTGTTTTGTTTTGTTTTGTTTTGGTTTTTTGGAGAGAGGGTTTTCCTGATATGTTAAGTGAAGAAGTAAATAAATACCAAAAGCAGAGTTACATTCTGACATTTTTTTTCTTTATTAATTTTAGAGAAAGGGAGAGGGAGAGAGAGATAGAAACATCCATGAAAGAGAACATCAATTGGCTGCCTCCTGCATGCCCCCCCACTGGGGATTTGGCCCACAACCTGGGCATGTGCCGTGACCAGGAATAGAACTGGCAACCTCTTGGTGCATAGGTGGATGCTCATCCACTGAACCCAGGATGAACCCAGGCCTGGCCATTCTGACATATATATATTTTTATCCTTACCCAAGGACATTTTTTTATTCAGATAGAGTGGGAGGGAGAGAGAGAGAGAAACGTGAAAGGGACACATTGAATGGCTGCCACCCGCACAACCCAACCAGGGCCAGGGACAAACTGCAACCAAGGTACATGCCCTTAGCGGAACCGAACCCGGATCTCTCCGGACCGCATGCCAACACTCTAAACTGCTGAGCCAAACCGGCCAGGGCCATTCTGGCATATTTTAAATGTTAATTTACTCTTGATAAATGATCTCACACGCACATTAGGACTCACCGTCTCACTTGGAGATAATGTCAGTATCTAAATTTGAGCTCTTGGCCCTGGACCGTTTGGCCCAGGGGTTAGGTCATGGGCCCCACCCGAGGGCCAAAGAGTCTTGGGTTTGATTGTGGTCAAGGGCACATACCTGGGTACAGGTTCCATCCCCAACCCTGGTTGGAGTCCTGTGGAAGGCAACCAATCGATATGTCGCTCTCACATCAATGTTTCTTTTCTTTTCTTTTTTTTTAATTCTTTTTCCCTTTTATTGATTCTAGAGAGAGAGGAAGTGAGAGCGAGAGATAGAAACATTGATGAGAGAAAACACCAATCTGCTGCCTCCTGCATGGCCCCCACTAGGGATCAGGCCCACAACCTGGGCATGTGTCCTGGCTGGGAATAGAACAGATGACCCCTCAGCACATGGGTCCACGCTGAACCACTGAGCCATACTGATACCGTGGAACTCACATCAATATTTCTCTCTCCCTGTCCCTCCCTTCCACTCTCTAAAAATCAATGGAAAAATATCCTTTGGTGAGGATTAACAAAAACAAAAAAAGAAAGAAAAGAAAATCATGTTATGAGAGCAAGAGCAGAATTACAAAAATAATTTTTTAAAATAAAAAACAGCCCTGGCCAGTTTGGCTCAGCGGTTAGAGAGTCCGCCCATGGACCAGAGAGTCACGGGTTCGGTTTCCGCTAAGGGCACGTACGTCGGTTGCAGTTTGTCCCTGGCCCCGGTTGGGGTCGGGCAGGTGGCAACCAGTCCATATGTCATTCTCATGTCGATGTTTCTCTTTCTCTCTTCCTCCCTCTCTTCTTCTCGCTCTATCTGAAGATAAATGCAAAAAATGTCCTTGGGTGAGGATAAAAAAAGAAAAGTTAATAAAATAAAAAATAAATAAATTTGAGCCCTTGAATGTGAGGTTCTCCTCTAACTCTGTCTACTCTCTGGAATGTTATATATTTAAGAATTTTGAAAGGCTGGCATTTTGGTAAATTATGGCCACCTTGATGGTGCTTATTTCCAGTACTACTAATTTAAAATGAGAAATGAGGCCGGCCAGTGTGACTCAGTGGATTGAGCATCCCTCTCATGGACAAAGAGGTCCCAGTTCAATTCCTGGTTGGCACATGCCAGGGTTTGGGCTCAATCTCCGGGCGGGGGGGGGGGCATGTGGAGGCAGCCAAGTGGTGTATCTCTTACATTGATGTTTCTATCTCTCCCTTCCCCTCTCTCTAAAAAAAAAAAAAAAATCAATAAAGTGAGAAAAGATATCTACGTTCCATTCCTCAAAATAAATAAACTACACTATGACATTACTCAAGATTGCCAGAGTTCTTCCTAATTTACAGGGACTATGAATGGCAGGAGTACAGGTCACGCTGGCAGGCCATTCCCCGGGTGGTAGGTGGTGGCCAGGGAGATAATTGCTAAACCATTTAACAGAGAATGAACTTCAAGCAGCTGGAATGAAAAATGTGTGTCATTAGAACTAGAATGATGGCATTTAATTACATTGCTGGCCGCTGAAAAAGTTAAAAGTCAAGAGTCCTTGGTAAAGTACAGCATTGCCCAGATTCTACTTCAACGAACAGTTGGATCTGTGGAATGGAAGATTTAACAAAGAGAAGGCACCCCTTGTAGTGGGGGGAGGCTCTCTTGGAGCAACAAAACCCAGGAGGACACCCTGTAGGACAGCGCTTCCTGCTGACCTGTTGGGAGAGAGACAGGTTAGGTGACATTTTCCTGACTGCACACATCTGCTCCAGGGTGGAACCCAAGAAGGAAATCACTATTGGGTGTACTCAGAGCCTGAGAAGATTTCGGAATGACTCTCATGGCTCTCAGGGGCAGAGTCCTAACAGTGCTAGAAACAAGGAATCTTGAGGACTCCATGCTTACAGACAGCCTTGGGGAGGACCACACCCGGGGGGAAGGGGTGGTGATGAGCCGAGTAGACTACTCCTGAAGTCATCTTTTACAAGGAAGGCAGGACTCCTTGGAGTTTAGGGATGCTTCTTTTCATCTGAGCTCAAAACATAAAAGAGTCTGTTGCAGCTGAAACCAAAGGTGAGATGTGGAACAGAATTTCCAGACTGCAGAAGCATCTAGAAGAGTTTGGAAGGATCTTCTTCCCTGACATCTCTATCAGGATAGAGTCCAGGTTTCCCAAACCACTGCCTAGAGATGGGCAAAGGGACTCTTGAAACCATGAATACTGGAGGATTCTTCAGCTTGAGATTTCAAAACGCTGCATCTCTGGCTGGATAGCTTAGTTGGTTAGAGAGTCATCCAAATATGACAAGGTCATGGATTTGATCTTCAGTCAGGGCACATATAAGGAGCAACCAATGAATGCATAAATAAGTGGAACAACCATGTTTCTCTCTCTCTCTAAAAAAAAAATCAATAAATTTTTAAAATCCTCACCCAAGGATATTTTTCCATTTATCTTCAGATAGAGCGGGAGGAGGAGAGAGAGGGACAGAGACAGGGTGGGGAGGGGGGGATGTGAGAGAGACACATCAATTGGTTGCCTTCCTCATGACCCCGACCAGGGCCAGGGACCGAACCACAACCAAGGTACGTGCCCCTGACTGGAATCAAACCTGTGACTCTTTGGTCTGAGGGCCGATGCTCTAATCGCTGAGCCAAACTGGCCAGGACGATAAATAAATATTTTTTAAAAACCCTGCAAAGCATATATTTCAAAGCCCAATAGTTAACACTTAATGCTAGAACCTTTCCTATGGCTTCTCTATGTGAAATAATTTGGTTCTGCAAGCATTTTTGACAGACTGGACAATGCCTTCTAGAAAGTTAAGATATTAGCAAATTCATCTGGAAAATGAGATTGAACTATCTCCTACCTCAAAGCTCAAACTAGCTTGTCTTAACTATTTCTAACATTTTACCGGTAGAATGGTGTTTGTCCATTTTCAAGTTGGATTAGATTTTGTATTCAACGTTTATAATAAAGACAACTTATCAACATTCTTATTATTATAAGGTTATAACCCTATGGGGCCTTTCTTAGTCACTCTGCATACCTTGAGCATTCTCTATGTGCTGTGGGGGAGCACTAAGAATTTTTATGTCACTGGAGCAAAAAGAGTGATGCATGTGATATAACAAATAATAAATCAAGAGCCTAAATTGTGATTAAATACAGAATATAGGGCCTGGATAACAATTACTGTATGGGTTACAGGAGGTAAATTGGGGTGGGGGGGTTCATTAAGTAAGATAACACATGTACCCACTAGAATAACCAGAAGTTATTATTATTAGTATTCATTAGGGAGGTGGGATTTAAGCTGGGGTTTGAGACTGTGGAGGAGTGTTCATTCATTCATTCATTCATGACACATATTTGCCAAGCATTGTACTAGACACCGGGTAAGAAGGAGACAACACAGACCAGGTAAAGCTCTCATCGAGCTTTCATTCTGTTGGGGGAAAAGGAAAAGGACAGTGGACAAATCAACGAATAAAATAAATACAGGTTGTTCTCAGTGCTTTCAAGCAAATAAAAAGTGTATTATGATCACTCATAACAGAGTGTGGGGTTTACTTTAAATAGATCTATTTTAATCGAATCAGATAAAGTGACATTCAGATTGAGACCTGATGGATGAAAGGAGCCAGCCACACACAAAAACTAAGGAAAGAACATTCCAAACAGCCGATTGGGTAAAGGCAAATGTCTGGAGGCTAGAAAATACTTCCCAGTTCTAGCAACAGAGAAAGTGTGGGGAAAGTGGTTTTGAAAGCAGCTGGAGAGAGAAGCAGAAGGTAGATCCCAAGGAACCCATGATATACGTTGGGATTTTATTCTCAGTCTCCCGATATGTAAAAAAGGGGGGAAAT